GTCTTATTTATTGTCTTATTTATTGTCTTATTTATTGTCTTATTTATCTTTTGGGGTGATGGGGTCAGAAGAAATGAGGCAGAAATTAGAAGGTTAGCTTAAAAATGATGGATAAGTTGCATGTACTGAGTAGGTTTAATGCATCAAATGGCTGCTGCTTGTTTTATTTTAGTTTTATTGTGCTGTTACTTTTAAGCTATTAAGTGTTACTGTTAAACAGCAAAGCCTGGCAAAGGTAACTGAAACTCTGAACTACTTGTATATTTCAAGAGCGGCATGGCAGCTCAGTGGTTAGCCCTGCTGCCTCACAGTGCCAGGGACTTGAGTTCGATTCCACCCTCGGATGACTGCCTGTGTGATGTTTGAACATTCTCCCTGTTGGTTTCCTCCCAGAGTCCAAAGATGTGAAGGCTAGGTGGACTTGTAAATTGCCTATAGTGTCCAGGGGTGCATTGTTTAGGTGGATTAGCCATGGGAAATGCAGGGTAACAGGGATAGGTGGGTCGAGGTGGAATGCTCTTCAAAGGGTCTGCGTGGATTTGCTGGGGCAAATGCCTTGCTTCTCCATTGTAAGGATTCCACGATTTGCCTCACCTTCGTTATCTTTTAGCATTTTAGAATTACAATTAGATTTTATTGTCATGTTTACTCATGTAGAAATGCGAGTACAGTGTAAAATGTGCAAAGTTGCCATTCTCTGGCACTTCAAAAGCTACCTTCGCATATGTTTGACGATTATAGAGAATCCTTGTGTGGTAAGGAAATGATTTGAAACAGTGAAATCATGTGTGGATTAAACAGCATATAAAATATTTTTGCATTCCTAAAGATGGTTGGACATGTAGATCATAACATCTCTGGCATTCGGAGTTGGGTGTCTGTTTTAGCTCTTGAACCAAGAGTGTTTGGAGTAGTGTGGTTCTTGGTGGCACAATACAGACATTTTAAATCATGACACAAGATGCAAGACTATAAATAAATTTGTGTTCAAGTTTGAAAATAACCAGTCACTTATTAAAATGTTAGGCAAGCAACTTGAGTTCCAAGCTTAATAATGTATCTGGTTCCGCTGTCTTTTTTTTAAGAAAAGGATGTCAATGCTCAAAATGAGACAACTGCAATTCTGACATCATCAGTCTTGTGTATTAATGGCAATTTGTGAGTAAACATGATCATTTGCAGAGTTGGAAAATTGTGTTCTAAAACTGTGGAACTATACTTTTAAATTCTAATTTTTTTGGAATTGATTCTTTTTTTTTTTCTCCCCACAAATGATTTTAGGAATGTGTTTTTTAAAATCTCTTGTGTGCCTAAAAATCTGCAAACTCCGAACAGGGAGGGACTTGGCAAGATTTCGATTCAATGTACCAATTGGGTACGTTAAGCAATTTATTATTTTGTCTCCGAAGGCTTGAAGACATCCACACCTCTTATGGTGCGAGAGATTCTATTCATGTGAGACCAGCATAATGTGTCTGCTGAGAATATCTCCTTAGGGTAGAGAATTGGTAGTCAGTTGACACGCCTATTTGCAAATCACTGAGGAACAATGTTGAGGTACTGACCTTCCAAGAAGGCAAAACGAGATGCATGTATTCAGTGAATCAGGATCGGGAAAATTTTAATGAGCCACGACTGTTGTTTTTCTGTTGTTCTTGAGGACTCTGTAGATGCATCAAAGTGAGATTTTAATTAGATGCTGTATGTTTGCTTGGCAGTAAAATACACTAGCTTAACACAAAAACCAAAGAACTGTGGATGCTGGAAATCAGAAACATAACTAGAAATTGCTGGAAAAGCTCAGCAGGCCTAGCTACATCTGTGAAGGGAAAGCAGAGTTCAAGTTTCAGGTCTAGTGACCTTTCCTCACAGATGCTGCCAGATTTGCTGCACTTTTCCAGCAATTTCTATTTGTTTGTTTGTGTAGCTTGATAACATGCAGCTCTGACATCCTTGGCCCTGTAACTCCCAATTGTGACCTCTGTGTTTCCCTGTTTGTCATCAATTCACTACTGATATTCCATCAATTGTAAAGAGCCTGAGCTTGTGAATTCTCTCCCTGCACTCCTTCCCCCCACCCCCTTTGATTTTATTTATATACTTCTTGAAACCTGTCCCTGTGGCCAAGTTTTTGTTTAGTTGTCCTCAAGTGTCAATAGGTGTTAAATTTCTATTTTGGTAATGTTCATATTAGATGTTTTCAGATGCTTTTATCAAGTTAAAGGCACCCTAAAAAGGCATGTTGTTGCTTTTAAGTATCTCTAGAAAGACCAGGTAACGTATGAGGTAGAACAGATAACGTAGTATGAACTCGTGAAGTTCAATAGCCATAGTTCGAACTTTAAAGCTCATCTGCATGTGACATTGCATTAGATTCACCTTGAAGTCCTTTTCTCCTTCAAAAATTTTAGTTGTGCTGTTTGTGATGCTGACCCATTGGCCTTAAGGTGTGCTCAATCATTACTGATTCCCTTGGGCCTTGACTTTGCCCACTAACTTTTGCTTGTCTGTCTGCCATCAGCTTGTGATCCTTTTGACCTATTGGTTTATTAGCCTATGCTGTTTATTCATATTCTAATGTCTGAAATGGTGAGAAGGTAAGGGAACTGTAGGGAGGTGGAAGGCAGTACATAGAAAGGAAGGCAGTCTCTGACAAGGTAATGAAAGCAAAAGCTGAGCTTTGTTTTATAGTTGATGCATTCAGTATGTTGTCAAAATAAAGAAGTGTTTTGTATTCAGCCCAAAGTTTATACAAGTGATAACATTTTTAAATGTCTTATCAATAAAGCTGATACTGGAGATGGGTTATTGATGGTTTAAAAATTGAAGTTCAATATGATAATTGACAGGCTGGTTTTTTAAATAGAATCCCTACAGTGTGGAAACAGGCCCTTCGGCCCAACAAGTCCACACCGAACCTCAGAGTATCCCACCCAGACCCATTCTCCTGTTTTCTTATGCTTTTTTTCTAGACAAAGCCATGAAGTTGTAAAGTTTTTGGAAAGTGCAAATATTCTTTGTGAGCATGTCTGATATATATTTTATCTATCTATCTATCTATCTATCTGTCCATCCATCCGTACATAATACTACTATTCAAGTTGTATCTGGAATATGGCCATCAATGTTTTTCCCAGTGATAAGTGTGTGGTAAATGTTATAAGCTGTTCTTTGTAAATCTGTTTCAGGTTGGCAAAGAGACAGTACAGACAACTGAAGATCAGGTCATGAAGAGGGATATGCCACCAGCCTTCATCAAGTGAGTATTGCGTTACATTTGCACAAAAATAGGCTTGTAATGAATAACTGCTCATCATGATTTCACTTGTACTTAGTTTTCATTTGTGCTTTGGTAGTGGTTATAATCTTGGTGAATTCATTTTCCATATTGGGGAAAGGTTATGGTTTTTCTAATAGTGATTTGTATTCAAGGTCATTTTCTTCACACCAACCCACTGCCCAAACAATCATCAACATATTTATATGGTGCAATTTGGTGTTGAGTTGAATAGTTTGGTATGATTCACTGCTTTGCCAAGAACTGTTCACGTTTATTTGTAGTTTATGCTGAGCTGTGTATAAAGCTGTATTTATGTTCACTCCTTGAATGACGGCTAACGCAGCCAGCAACAAGATTTCCACATCAGACACAGGCACACAAATGACGATCTGACATTTAATCTGCAAAGTATTTTGATATCCAAAAAAAATTCCTAGAATATGTAGCTTCTCATGTATGCTATTGAATTCTCTCAGTTTAACCCTGGTAAGCCTACCTTGTGTGTTCCTCTTACAACTACCTGTGTCCAAGATGAATTTGCACTATTTTAGTGCCTTTTTTTCGGGAGTTTCTCGAGAAACTCAATGACAAGCAATGGAAACTGAGCAAGAGTTAAGAGGCTCAAGGTGGAAGATGGAAATTATTGGTTTTGACGTTGTTGGTGTGTAGCACAAAAAAGGCACTAGTTGGAACGGGGCTACCTGAAAGTTATATATTGGTGGTGAGACAGGAGGGGAAGTCTCTCTTTAGTACGTGGTTGGAAGAGCAGGGGTGTACGCTCCAGTAAGGACCTACAGAGATTGCATTAATTGTTTAGAGTGGAGCCATTGCACATTTGTAACTTAAAATGGTAATTTTGAAATGTAAGCCCTGGGTAATGAACCAGATGTGAAATTCACACGTGGTAGATGCATGGGACTTTGTTTATATAAAACGTGTGTGGTAAGGGTTTTGGATGACTGCCAATATGTATAGGATGTGACTGATTGGAGGCTGCTTGAGACAGCCCAAGTAAATTTAATCAGAAGTAAATACATTTTCTGCAGTCATGGAATGTTGATTGTTGTTGATCACAGTTACAGTCCCATGAGAAGGTCAAGCTCCAGCTAATGATGCTCGACTTCCCATGGCTGCCAGAAGGAAATGGTTTTTAAGGCTTGGGAGCAATTCTCATGCTGGCATCACTCGCAGGAGTTGAAATTTTTCAGTTTAGTTGAACTTTCTCTTTAGTGTAAGTGTTTTATTTTAGGCCATCCTAACCAAAGCTTAATCTTGGGTTGTTGAGATTGTATGTTTCGTCTTTACTTTAGAGTTTAAGCAAATAGTAATTTACAATGATTGAGAAGACAACAAAATAATGGAATTGCCGAAAAATTTTGTCAAAACTTCACGTCTTGCACTCAACAGGACAATTCACAAGAACAATTCAAGAGCAAAGGCAACATTTATAGACATTCTGCCTATCACACAAAATGAGTATGGTGGTTTATGATTTTCAGTTAAGGTGTGCTGCCAGGTATGTAGGCTATATGTCCCAAAGACTGACAGATCATATTAAATAACATAACCCTTTTGCTGCTCGCAATAAACTAGGTCCTGGCTGTATCAGCCCACGTGAAACTTGGAAAACCATGTCCAACGTCCAATGTAATTGTGCAATTGGGCAAACTTTGCTGGATATATTGATGACTGTGAAAAACTGCAATTTTTAGATGTCAGTTGGACTTGAAATGTGGCACGCTCCTTTGTACAAGAAGCTACAAATTAACCCTTTACTTGGCAAACAAATAATATTTTATTCATAGTGTGCCTGTTTTGACTGAACAAAATAAGTGACAGCCGTTTTCTGGTTTGCTGCATGAGCGCTCAAGTTTCAGAATCTTGGATCCAGCCATTGTATGTAAGAAAAGCAAAAGTCTGAGTATGCAGTATAAGGGTTTAAAATAGCGGCAGGTTGTGATAATTAGCATGGAGAATTTTTTACTGGCTTTCTAGCAACTTTCTGAAGATTGCTGTTGTTCCTTGATGATAATACAAATGTGTTGGTGTATTTTGGAGGGTTCAGCTGAGAATGTACAACTGAGGAAACGTAATTTTTCTCTTGAGCAAAGTTCTTCTGTAATGACTGATGCTGTTGAGTATTGCTGGAGACCACTGAGTAGAGAAGGACATGTTCCACACAACAATCCATGAATACAAAATAGTTCAGTATGCTGATTCAGTATTCAGGTTCTGGGTAAGATCTTGGAATAGCAATTGGATGATGTTTTAAAAAAAAAAGCAGAAGAACATTCTCAGCTGTTGTATAAATCTGTTCCTATCCTAGTATTTTTTTCTAATGGCTTTCTTTGCTCTGTGAAAATGCTGAGAATGCAGCTAACAGAAAGAGTTTGTCTACATATAGAGTACTGTTGCTTTCAAAGGGCAACTCAGTGAAAGCTAAGTACTACTAAAATTTGACAAAAACAATATTCTGTAACAAGTTAGTGCCAGAGTGGGTGTGGAGTTTGTGGTTTGTTTGAAGTCTGAATGCACTTAATACTTCGGTTGCTTTGGAGTCACCACTCGAGAGCCCCACAAAAGAATGTATCTGATTTTTAACATCACTGGTGATACATATGACATCATCAGTTCGAAAATATACATTTCTGGCTTCTCGCGTTCTTGCTGATTATTTTAAAATGCACCTTAAGATGGTCGTAGAAGGAGATGCAATACATGGGGAGCAAATAACATCTAGACAAAAGGCTATTTTGTAGTGAAGCAACTAGCATTTCTCTCATTTGTTTATAAAAATTATTCATTACAGTTGTCAATATATATCTTCTTTTGGAACCTCATGATATCCATTTAGTGGAGTGAACAAGTTAGGAATATGTCAGCCAAAAGCTTCCAGTTTTTCTTCAGTGTTGTTCCTAACCTTACATCTTTCACACCAGATACAGGTTGAGGTATTTGTTGTGTCCATCTGTAAAGAAATCTGTAAAGAAATCCACTATTGTATATAGAAGTTAATTGAGCAGTTACTTTAATTTACTGATTTATCATTCATAGAGTTGAAAATGCCTGCACTAAATTGATCCAGGCTGCACAGATGCTGAAGGACAATCCATATGCTGTACCTGCACGCGATTACCTCATTGATGGTTCTAGAGGTATTCTTTCTGGAACTTCAGACTTACTCTTGACGTTTGACGAAGCGGAGGTATTTATGTGATAACTTGTTCAACTTTGCTTGGGAAAACTGTGTATGACTTTCGTTGCATCTTTGTCTGTTAGTATCCCACAAATTGAGTTGTCATGTGTAACTTTAACAACAATTTTTTTTTGTACCAATTAATTTTACCTCCCAGGTTCGTAAAATCATCCGTGTCTGCAAAGGCATCTTGGAATATCTTACAGTAGCTGAAGTGGTCGAAACTATGGAGGATTTGGTGACTTACACCAAAAATTTGGGTCCAGGTTAGGAATTGGGTTTTCTTGAAGTCTAAGTTATTACTAAAGCAACACTTTATATTGCTCTCAGTCAAACTTTGAAAGATGTGCTATTTTGTGGAACTAAACTTGTTACTTGGAGCATGGAGGATAAGCTTATGTACCAAAAAAATCAAAATTATGACGAACTTGCAGTTGATTTGACTATAACCAGATACATCAAAGTGTATGATGGATGAAGTTTGAATGAGAATTCATTAGCGCCTGCATTAGTAGACCTGGAATGTTGGAAATGTAATTGCAAAATTTAAATTTTAATGCAATTGAAGTTTATATTGTGCATTGGACTATTTGTGTATCATTTTTAAAAAAAGAGAATGCACAATGACTTTCATCTGTGTTTTAATGTGCTGCAATTTTTGATTTTCCCTTCTTTCTTCGCTGTGCCCTCAATTAGGAATGACTAAAATGGCTAAAATGATTGATGAAAGACAACAGGAATTGACTCATCAAGAGCACAGAGTTATGCTGGTAAACTCCATGAACACAGTGAAAGAACTTCTTCCTGTACTGATTTCAGGTACTTCTGAAAATAGCTAGACTTTCGGACTAGGAGAGATCTATCAGTATGTTTTAACTATGAAAATACAAATCAGCTGTGACATTTTTCTATTCCCACCTCTCCTGGAGCCTTCAATCTTGATTACAGGTCATAATTCAAATTGACATTTCATATGGTGGTGACTTGATATATTTTTATTTAAACCAAATAAATCTCCTGTTGTGTTTAAAAAGAATCAAATATCTTCAGAATAACAAGCTACATTTTTCTGAGATGATGGCATAACTTTATTTTCTGTTCCTTTCTCTTTGCATTCAGAATGGAGTTAAATTTTGTTCAAGCATTGCACCGATTTGATTTTATTTTTGTGAAGGTGTGTTAATGCCATGTGCAATGAGAAGGAATAAATTATACAAAAAATACACTGCCGAGAAACTCAGTTGTTGGAAGAAAAATGGTACATTGATACTGAAGGGCTGAAAATAAACTCCAGATGTGCTTAAAGTTGTTTAAGAATTTTAAGGGTATTAAAAATAACTGGCTAATATTTTGGACTGGGACTCTTTTGGAACGCTATAAAACAGCAACTTGATTTTTTCTTTTATCCTTCACGCACTAATAACTTTGTGGCTTTCTGTTACAAATTGATGTAAATTATAGCTGCATCAGCCATAAAACTGAGGAATTTGCAGTTGAAATCCCCGCTTTAGTTAATTGCTGTATATATTGTGGTGTCGAGAATATCCACAAGTGTCCAGTCATGGAACTACATACCACTTGTAACAACAAAAAAAATTCATTTTCGATTTTTTTAGCTATTAAGATTTTTGTAACTACGAAGCAGTTCAAAAGCCAAGGAGTGGAAGAAGCTCTAAAGAACCGTAACTTCACTGTGGAGAAGATGAGTACTGAAATCAATGAGATCATTCGTGTTCTGCAGCTGACATCCTGGGATGAAGATGCTTGGGCTAGTAAGGTATATCTGAGATTTTGAGTAAATTACAGTAAAATTACTTGAGTGGTAAAGCTTTCATTTACTTGTCTGTTGAAATATAATAAGATACTGTACAGTTTCCCTAATGAGCGTCTGTCATTTGCAATCTTAGTGCAACAGATTTTTTCTTTTCATTTTTCATTGTTTTCAATCTTGATTCTTGATTTATTACCGAGACTGTGTGTTTATTTTTATTTATTTCATTGAGCTGCAGACAGTAAATAGGTAGTTTCTGAAACTTGTTTGCTTCGTATGCTGAGATGTAAGAGAAATTGGGATTAAGTTTACATTTGACTTAAAATACAATAGAATACATTATTTGATATTGGCTGAAGTAAAATGACACCTGCACACTAATGAATAGTGTGATTCTGTTGTTCATTATCTGTATGTATGTGTGTTTCACTACAAAAATGGCTGCCTCAAGACAGGCTAATATATGCACTCTGTCCTGTTATGTGTCTATTGACTGACCTAAAAAAACTACTGAATAAAAACATGTAAATGTGAATTTGATGAGTTGCCAGATATTGTGGCTACATTTTTTGTATTTTTGGCCAGTTACAAAGGAAAGAAAATTCTTGTTTATAAACTATGTGCATTTTTGTGGTCAAAACATTACCTGTTCAAATCTTCTCTTTTTTTTGCATTTTTTTTTTCTTTTGGGATCAATACAAGCATCTTATTTTTACTTTCTTCCTTGTTTCTTCTTCATTCTGCCTTGTAGAAGGTAAGCTCACTTGTTTGTTTTTTCTCTCTTTTTCTGCTGAAGCATGTTCTGAATGAATGCTCTTTACTGCCTTACTGCCTTGGTGTGTGGTGCAGTTTGCTTCAAATAATGTTATGGCGAGCACATGCTGAACACGGTTCTTGAAATACAACTTGCGGTTAGGTCAGGTGTTTGGGACATTTTTACCGCAAATGTTTTGTGGTTTGAAAATGTCTGTTAAAACTTTTAAACCACATCAGATTATAGCATGATCACTGCAATAGCTTCTGATGAAGCTCTTACCAATAGGAGTATGAAGTTGAATGGCTAGTGGGGAGATAAGGTAGTACATCATTTCCACAAGGATCAGTCATGCATTTCAGTATCTTAAATTATTTTTAGTACTTTCATCCTAAAAGTAATTTGGTGCATCAGGTCCTCCGACTTATTGGTGAATATGCAACCTTGCAAAGCGTTGACCACAACAGACAATAAGACTCTTCAATTTCCTAGCTTGTTGATCTGAGCCGGAGTTGCTCTATAAGATGCTGCCCTCAATATAATGATTAGAGAATAACAGAATTAAATAGTGCAGGAACAGGCCATTTCACACTTGAAGCTGTGCCAGCACTTTGGTAGTGGTGTTCGTTCGGTTTCATCCCTAACCTCTTTCCTCATAATGACATAAATTTTTCCTCTTTATCAATTATCTATTGCAACTTTGGGTTTGTTGAATCCACTTCTTCCTTTATGGGTAATGCTATCCAGATCAACATAACATATTCCAAGGTTTTCCCCTCCTGTTCTGCTTTTTCTTCGACAATAATCTGTTTCCTCTGGTGACTGAGGATGCATACTGCCAACCTCTTGAGTACCTATTTTTTAATCTGTTTTTAATATATCCTATTTGTACACACACTCACTCTTTCACTGCAACATTGGCAGCTTCCTGTTATTTCATGAAGTCATATGCATTGTGCACTCATACGCAACCATTCACATTGCCTCCACAAGAAGGCCTCCTCTTTCCTCAGCACTACCCACCCTTTCTTTGACAACCTTTTATCATTTATTTATATTTATTTATGAGAACCATTCTTTTCTTCATACTAGGGACCATAATTAAATGCATAATTTAATCCTTAATGTGATTCTGCTTAGTTGGATTTTTTTGTGTCTTTGGTACAATGATTGTGCTGTCTTTGTACCTGAAAATATACTTCCGCAAAAAGGAAAGCGGATAGAAGCAAGTTTACACAAAAGGCAACAACAGTGATAGAAGCTGGAAATAAATGGTTTGTTCTTGCTGCTTTGTTCATCGGTCCTAACAAATATTGAACTTAAAATAGTTTGTTACAGTACTGACTGTTTTGCACAATTAATGTGCAGAACAAAAGTTCAATTATACTATCATTAAAGAAGATCTAGGTATTGTATCATCAATTTTATTTTCTGCTTTTACCAGGTTATTTTTGGAAACCAGAATATAGACACTGTATAGTACATTGAATTGTGCCTCTAATCATGTAGAACAACACAAAGATATGCAGGTTAGGTGGACTGGCCATAGGGAATGCAGCGTTACAAGGACACAATAGGATAGGGGGTTGGGTCTGGGTGGGATGCTCTTTGGTTGGTGCAAACTCAATGGAACAAATGGTTTTTCTGCACTGTAGCAATTTTATGAATGCCACATGTCTTGGCTACATTAGCTAGTTAAGATCATCACTTAATTCAGTGACCTGTCTTGCTGCTTCTTACAAGTAACCCTTGCTGTTAAATTATTTACTTGTGCATCAAACGTCACTGTAAATTTATTGCACATTAAGTATTTAACATTCTTGCAGAAAGCACACATGAATACACTGTTTGCAATGTAACAGTGAGTGTATGTTTCTAACACACGGAAGTTCTAATACACATGTAATAGTGCCATTCTTAAACAAGCTTCTTTACCGTCTGTGTGGAAGACATGAGCAATTTGATGGTTGATTTTAATAGTTGGTGCAATCTTCTGACTAATGGTAGAGTTTCTGCATTACCTGAAAAACTACACATGTATTCTGCAGAGAGCTTTTCTAAGTTCGAAATGTTTTGGGAATAATGAGTTATCCTTTTTAGTAAGAATTAGACAAACCAAATACAGTTTTGTTATTTTATATTTGTAATTGTTCGTTCATGCACCACCGAAGGAGTGCAGCTACCCACTTTGTTAATGCACTTTAAAAACTGCATATAAGGTACAGTGTAAAGGTAACATGAGTTCCTATTTTTGAAAATGATGTTTTGGTAATCCTTCTAAATTTGGGGAAACAGCTGTACTTTGATCCCCAGTTCACAATTTTAAATCCTGCATCATTGCACATAAAGTGGCTTGGATGTTGTTTTTCTGGGAAGAGGTCAAGAAGCACTGGAGTTTTTGTTCCACACTGAACCTCTGAATGCATGGACTCCTTTCTGAATCATTAAATTAACACTAAATTTTTGTCCTCTCAAAATCTTAAAAGTTAAGCTAAGTTTGTTTTTTACGTTGTGACTCTGAAAATTTATTAATATCTATGTAAATTAGGAAAACTTAATTTCTTAAGAATTTTGGTTTCTTGACTTGTACATTGTAACATTGATTGGATATTGAGTCATATCTTAACATTAGTTTACCAGCGTGCTCTGCTTGTATTATCGTTTATTGCATCAAAATACTGCTCCCAATAGAGATGAAGCTTTTGGGTAAAATTATTTGTGATACTGAGTGGGTTTTGGGATTTTCTTTTTAGAGTCCGAGGTCTACAACATGGAAACAGACTGTTCAGCCCAAATTGCCCATGCCATGCAGCTTTCACAATTTAAGCTAGTCCCATTTGCTTGGTCCATATCCTCCATACCTGTCTAAATGTTTCTGAAATGATGAAATTGTACTTGGCTCCACCACTACCTCTGGCAATTGGTTTCAGACGCTCACCATTCTCTGTGGGGGGGGGAAAAAAAAATTTCCCCTCTGACTCCTTTTGTGTATCTCCCCTCTCTCCTTTCACGTATACCCTCTAGTTTTAGATTCCCCTACCATGGGGAAAAGCTGTTGGCTATCGAGCTTATCTATGTCTCTCAAGATATTATATCACTTTTATAAGGTCACCCCTGAGTCTCCTACACTCTGGGGGTAAATTCCAGCCCATCCAAACTCTACTTATAACTCAAACCTTCCAATCCAGATAGCATCCTAGTAAATCTTTTCTGCACTCTTTCTAGTTTAATAATATCCCTTCTGTAATGGGGTGACCAGAACTGAACCAAATCTAATTTAGGGCAATTAATCATGTAGACTGCTGGTAATTAGCTGAACTTTTGTTTCAAACAATATGCTGTATCCTGCATTTCCGTTAAGTTTTAAGTGAAGATTGTGAAACATGCAAAGATCTGACATGAGATAACAAAGTGTGTAGAGCTGGATGAACACAGCAGGCCAAGCAGCATCAGAGGAGCAGGAAAGCTGATGTTTCGGGTCTGGACCCTTCTTCAGAAATCGGAGGAGGGTCCAAACCCAAAACATCAGCTTTCCTGCTCCTCTGCTGCTTGGCCTGCTGCGTTCATCCAGCTCCACACCTTGTTATCTCAGATTATCCAGCATCGGCAGTTCCCACTATCTCTCAAAGATCTGACACCATGTCTTCGTGATGTTTTGCTGAATATTAATCAGTTACCTCCTGCCATTCCACTTTCTACTTTCCCTCCGCTTATGTATAATCCTAGAAACAGTAATTTCAACATTATTGCCTCTGTACCAAATGCTCCTGCAGAAATCGCAGACTTTTTTCAGATTGTCATATCGGGTGTCAAGTTTGATATAGGGTAATCCGTACACATCTACTATTGTCGCTTGAATCTGCCATTTTAAACTACATCAAATTAAGGCACAACGTTCCTTTCAGCAGTTTCTGCCAACCTTATCTGTTAAGCCCAAATTTGGATTAGTAGTTTTGTTGGTAACAATTAAATTATGTTGCCATAGTTTTTAACCAAAGTGCTGATTTTGTTTTAAAGTAAACTGATGTCAACGCTGCAGTTTGTGTAGTTTACATCAATATAAAGGTGCCATTTGTCTATGGGAAAGGCATTCCAGATGCTTTTCCTTGTTTTATTGCTGTTGCACGTCGTGCATTAGTTTAAAACGATGAGCCCTGCTTGTATGTCATAGCACAAGTTTTTAGTTGTGATGTTTTCTTGGCTCTACTTAATCAAAGTTCGGCAACTATTTGATCCCATTTTAGAGATGGTACAAATTTTTCATAGTGCTCGTAATTGCCGAGTGTTATGCTGTCCTAAATAATGAGCTGAATACAAGTTGCCAAGCTATAATATTTTAACATACCAACAACATGTAAGTGTATACATTTTTGTAATTTTTTGTTGTGATTACTGATCTTTGAAGATATCAAGTGCTTATGCAGAACAGGGTATGAGGAAGTTAAGTTGAATTGATCTGAAGGATTAATGGATTTCTTTTGTTATTTTTAGATGTAGTTGACTGATTCCTATCCATGGAAACATCGTATTTGAAGATTTGTGCTGTTGACTAAAATTTCAATTGAATGGTCATATGAGGAATTTGCAAGTTGAGGCAACACAGTTAATCTTGAATGTTAGAAATCATGATTGTGAATATTGTGTGGATTGAAATTGGTACATGTTGTATTTTAACTAGGTTATAGGATATTTTTTCTCTGTAGGACAACACTAAGGTGCACTTAATTGATGCAATAACTTATGTCCATTGTTCAATAGCAAAAGGGGTAGCACTGTGGCTCAGTGGTTAGTACTCCTTCCTCTCAGTGCCAAGGTCTTGGGTTCAATTCCAGCCTTGGGTGACTGTCTGTTGGAGTATGCATGTTCTCCCTTCGTCTGTGTGGGTTTCTTCAAAGTGCTCTGGTTTCCTCCCACTGTCGAAAGATGTGCAGGCTAGATGGAATATCCATGCAGGATTGCTGGGTCAGGCTGGGGGACTGGGTCTGGGTTGGATGCTGTTTGGAGGTTCAGTGGAGACTTGGGCTGAGTGGCCCCTTTCTGCACTGTAGGGATTCTAAAATATATGCTGTACAAAATGAAATATGTTCTGTAAGATGTTTCACAACATAGAATAGCAGTAGTCATGCAGAACATAACTTTGGGCATTTCATAATGGATTATAAATATTGGGATTAGACGGATGTGGGTTTGGGATGTTCGAAGTTTAAGATTAACATGTTAAAGGGAGGATTTTGAAGAGGCTTTAGGGTGGGGATCATGGTGTTGGAGAGATTTGAGAATAATGTTGAAGGCTTTGATGGTGAATTTACCATGCTCAGGTGTTTTGAAGATAGCAGTGCATGCAAAGGAGTCTTTTGTTGTCGAACTTTGGAACAAGAATGGTATTGAGGGGATTTTGAAGTCTTCTGGGATGTGAGCAATGTGCTGAGAATGATAGAAGTGTGGGGTAACTGAGTTGAGAATATGTTGAAGGTAACACAGCATGCCAGTAGACTTCATGCCCAAGACAGCACTGGCAAAACTGATCCTTCAGTTACTGAACCAAGAAGGGAGTTTTTGTATTGATTTGGAGAGTTGGCTACATAGGTCAGTGGTGTCCATCAGTGCAAGTACTTTTTGCTTGCTAATGTGATCACAATATAACAAGTTTAACCCTGGGACAAAAGGAAGTTGAATTTCTGGCCTCATGATGTTGCTTGAGGGAACAAGTGTGGTGATTTATAGTTGGTATGACAGGTACTGTATCATGCTTCAGAAATGCAGACGCAAGATAGTCTTGAGAGTAGAATGTTGAATTTACGCAGTATTGAAAGTCTCTAGTATTGTGATGAGGCAATCGGCTATGGTAACAGTTCTAAAGGTTTTTATTGGTGACTGAACAAAATAGTTTTGTTCATTTTAGGGGATGGAGGTTAGAAGTTGCATTTTCTCGTATAAGGAGTGGTCAAAGAGATGACTAGTTGATTAGCAATTCTTTTGATCAAATACATAGATTTGCAATAATCAGTACAGAGTCAAACTTATTGAGGATAAGATTTCTTTTGAGGTGATGGAAAGAAATGGGAAGAAAAGTGAAACATATGATGAGATGCTCAGCAAGCATTGGCTGAGGATGGGAAGTTGAATATTGAGGAGCTTGGCTAGGGATTGATTCCAGGAGCAGAAGTGGATCTTAGGGAGCTAAGGAGAGGCAATTAGTAAGCTGGGACTTGGTTTTGGTGAACTGGGGATTGTTTCAATATAACATTTCATCAACACTATATTGCACTTTGCACTTTGAGTCTGATTTAGGTACAGGTGTTTAGGATATGTTTCAATGCATGACTTTGACTCTGCTAAGGCTGATCACTAAAGGAATAAAGGGAAAGTTGAGAGAAGGGTAGTCTGAAGCAGGGAGGAAACCCAGCAGTTAGGATGCCAACAGATTAACTCACTCGGTTGGAGATACAAATATTCTACTCAATGAAGAAAATTGTATAGACACTGTGACAGTTTGGTTTAGGCTGATTTGAACTGCTAGGCGGCAGTGATTTAGACCAGTTGGAGGGCGTGATGTCTGCAACCAGTTACTGAAATCAGTAACTAGGGTTTGCTAGGGATGGTTTGAGATTTGGAAGCTGTCTGACAATTTTTAAGCAGTGGCAGTAATTTTGTACCTTTTCTTAAATCTCACTTAATAGTGAGATGTAAGTGAATGATTTATACATGCAGTAGAGATTTGTGCTTCCTTTTGCACAAATCTATTTTAGGAAATACTGTACAATTAGTTATGTTAGTAACCTGTTCATTCTCATTACATGTCCTCTTTATAATATTGTGACCGTCTCCTGCTGATGAAATCCTTCCTCTTCCTTGAAACATTGGACATAAACTGATTCCCTTCCCTTGCATATTCTGCATTAGTTTCCAGGATTTTTATACAAATATTTTGTAATACTGTGTTAGTAATTTTCTCCTATAAAAGGCTGTTTTAGTGCCCTGTTTATCATGGATATGATTCAACGGATGAAACCATATGCAGTGTGCAATGAAATATTGAGATGTTTGTGTGTTATCAGTTATTTACAGCATTTTCAATCTTTTTGCTTAGAACATGGCTTTACAGGAAGTGCTTTAAGCTAAAATTCCCTGTTTGTTGTCAAAATAACAATGACCGTATTACATGCGTACAGCTGGGACTGCTCTTGATTTTTAGTAAGTTCATAAAATTTGTGAGAAGGTGTGATGAATATAGTTGGTATCTTGCCTCTAAGTAAAATAAAGTCTGCAGCTAACTGCACTTTGTGTAATCTGGTTGTGCTTATGTGGTTTGTACTGTATGCAGTGGAAGAATCCCTGAATTGATGGTAATGATAAATTCTGTAATGGCTTTAAATGTTAGTTTGATGTTGGCTGCTTTTGTTCAAGACAATGTCTTCTACTTACAATGATGTATAATTTCCATATTAAGAAACAACTTATTTCAAAACTTGCTACAGTGTTAAATATTTGGATTCCGTGCCTCCGTTTTAGTTAGCGAACCAAACTGTCAAGCAAGTATTTAAAAGAAAGTCATTTAAATAGCTAGAAAAGCTTTTATCAAGTACAAGATGTGTGATTTCTCATTCTGTTACTCTTACAAGAATAATGAAGACCAAATTTTGTCATATTGAATGTGTTTTTTTTCTTTTGACTTTTGGTCATTAAAATGTCTGATAATGGCTATTTATTCTGATAGGATACAGAAACTATGCGAAGAGCTCTAGCTATGATTGACTCAAAGATAGACCAGGCCAAGAATTGGCTAAGTGATCCCAATGCACCTCCAGGTAATAACTAAATTATTAACTATTATTATTGCTACTATGCGAAAATGCCAAGTTAAGTGGACAAACTAAAACTTTAAAATGTCCCAAAATATTCCCATGGTAAATAGGGTTCTTTTCTTTCTGATATTAATTGATGGCCATTTGCTTGAAGTTCAACTGATCAGTTGCGTCTTTTAGGTGATGCTGGGGAGCAGGCAATCAAACAAATACTGGATGAAGCTGGCAAAGTTGGAGAACTTTGTGCGGGCAAAGAACGAAGAGAAATTCTAGGTACTACCAAGGCTTTAGGCCAGTTGACTGACCAAGTATCTGAACTCCGAGCCAGGTAATTTTTTTTTTTGGTAAACATTACCATATTTGATATAGAATTCAATGCATTATGTAGTGCCGAGGTATTGTGATCATGAAATACGAGATAATTGATGTCACAATTTGAGCTTATGCTTTAGATAATTCTGGTGACAATATAATCAGCCATGATAGGCTCTTGTGGTAGTGTCCCTATCCCTGAGCCAGGAGGCCTGGGTTCAAAGCCCACCTATCCACTCGTGTATAGCAACAACTCTGAATGTGTTGGTTTAGAAAATACCTATCGTTAGCAATGAGTGGATCCCATAAGAGCAAAGTTAAGTATAAAATTACATTTGGACCATAGGAAAGAGGTAGGCCAATTAGTTTGAGCTTAATCGATCAATCAGTCAAATGAGTTAATCTTTGAATTAACTCCGTAACCCTTGCACAAGTCTGTTAATACCTATTTGGTTGACAAAACTTGCTCAATCTCAGTTGAAATTAGCAGTTGACTGAACTTCAATTGTATTCAGAAAAGAGTTACAAACTTCCGTTACCCTTTGTGCATAGAAAGATTTTCCAACCACTGCTGAAAGGCATAATTCTAACATTTGGACAAAGCCCCAAGTTCGTGACTCCCCAACCAATAGAAACAGTTTTCCTCAATCTACCCTATGAGGTTCTCTTAGTATTTTGAGGGCTTCAATCAGAGCATCTGTTACTCCCCTGAGCATTGGGAATACAACACTACTTTGTATAAGTTGACCTGATCATTTTAACTCTTGGAATTTCAATATCATTAAATATTGAATATATATAATAAATCTACATTACACTGCCTGTAAGGCTATGGGATCCTTCCTGGGGTGGTGGGCCCAGAACTGCACTCAGTGATCCAGATGTGGTTAATCTGTGCTTTGTATTGATGCAGCATAACTTCACTTGCGTTATTTGTATTAATTCTATTCATGCATGGCATGTGGATGTTGCTGGCTAGCCTAGCATTTGGTTAAGTCAATCATGTAGTTTAAGGTCTGGAGTCACAGTAAGGATTGGACTTTTCCTTTCATAAAAGATATAAGGAATGAGATATTGTACTACAATCAACAGTGGTCACCGTTAGACCATCTTTTTAATTGCAAGTTTTTATTGAATTCAAAATTCACCTTTTGCCATGGTAGGATTCAAACTTGCGTCTCCAGAACCAAAGCTTGGTGTTCTGGATTGCTAGTTCAGTGACATTATGACTACACTGCCGCATCCCTATTTGTTGCTTATTTATAAAAACAGGCATTCCATTAGCCTTTTGGATTATTTTCTGTACTCCTTTTGAAACATGTTTTAATGATCTGTGTACAAGAACCCTGTATAGGTCTTTTTCAGCTCCATTTACTGCTTTCACACATTTGGCTCTGCTTAAAATATGTAAGGTCAATTTGTGTTGTATATATCTGTGTGTGCAAATAAACGTGAGATGGTGCTAATACTATTTGGTTTTTTTAAATGAGTAGAGGTCAAGGTGCAACCCCTATTGCCATGCAAAAAGCACAGCAAGTATCTCAAGGACTCGACATGTTAACAGCTAAGGTGGAGAATGCGGCCAGGAAGCTGGAGGCAATGACAAATTCAAAACAGGCTATTGCCAAGAAAATAGATGCTGCTCAGGTAACTTCAATATAATTCTTATGAAACGTTTCATAAGATAGGAGTTCTTCAAAGATTTTTGCTGGAATTTTGTTTTAACAGGTTCGTAATATTGAATTTACTTCTCTGCTACATGGGAATCTGATTCCTATTTCTAGTGCTTGTTTGGAGTTTGTGGGATCTGTTAGAAAATAGAAGTGTAATTCCTGGGACAAAAGCAGTGTGCTGGATAAATGCAGTAGGTCTGGCAGTATGTGTAGAGAGAAAAACACTTAACGTTTCAAGTTGAGTGACCCTTTGTCAGAACTGAAAATAGCTGGAAAATGTTGTTGATTTATTGTTGTTACATGTACCGAGGTACAGTGAAAAGGGTTGTTTTGTGTGCGATAGACACTGATGGTACCATTCGAAGGTCATCTAGGTAGCAGAACAGAGTGCAAAATAGTGTTCAACTGCAGAGAAGGTGCATAGTGACAGATCAGAATGCATATTTGAGATGTCCATTCAAAAGTCTGATAACAGCAGGAAAGAAGTTGTTCTTGAATCTATTTGTTTATGTATTCAAACTTCTATATCTTCTGACCGATGAAAGAGGGTGCAAGAGAGTAAAACTGGGGTGGGAGGGGTCTTTTATTATATTGGTTGCTTTCCCGAAGCAGTGGGAAGTATAGATCAAGTCAAAGGATGGAAGGTTGGTTTACGTGGTGGACTGGAATGTGTTCATGACTCTGTAGTTTCTTGCGGTCTTGAAGATGAGCCGCCATACCATGCTGTGATGCACCATAAAAAGCATCCTAAAAATTGCTAAGAGTCTTTGTGGACATGGTGACGTTTTCTTAGCCTTCTGAAGAAGTAGAGATGTTGCTGTGCTTTTTTGACCGTCGCGTTGATGTGGGTGGACCAGGACTTATGGTTGGTCATCATCACTCCTAAGAATTTGAAGCTCTCATGTTACACCTTTGCAGACAGGGATGTGCCCTCCATTCCGCTTCCTGAAGTCATTGACAAGCTCCTTCATTTTATTGACACTGACATTGATGGAGAACTTGTTACTTTAACACCACGCTGCTTAACACTCAGTCTCTTTACTGTATTCTGTTTCGTTGTTGGTAGAGATCTGACCTACAATGGTGGTGTTGTCAATGAACTTGTAAATGGAATTAAGGCAGAATTTAGCCACACTGTTGTATATAAGGGGTATAGTAGGAACGGAGTACACAGCCTTGCGGGGCACCGGTGTTGAGGTTTACAGTGGGGGAGGTTTTGTCCTTCATTCTTATTGACTGTAGTCTATGGATCAGGAAGTTGAGGATCCAGTTGCAGAGGCAGGGGGGAGCAGAATCCACGTCTTGAAGTTTAGAGATAAGTTTATTTAGAATTATGGTGTTGAGGGCAGAGCTGTAGTAAATAAGTAGGAACCTGACACAGGTATTATTGTTATCCAGATGTTCCAGGGATGAACGTAGGACCCAGGGCGATAGTGTCTGCCGTGGACCTGTTGCACCTGGTAGGCAAATTGCAAAAGATCAAGGCAATTTAGTCAGCTGGATGATGATTGGTGTGAGCCGTGACTAACTTCTCAAAGCATTTCATAATTATGGAGGTCAGAGCCACCAGGTGGTAGTCATTGAGGCATGCTGCATGATTTTTCTTTGGCATGGGATGATGATGGTCTTCTTGAAGCAGATGGGAACTTCAGATTGTAGTAAGGTGTGGTTAAAGATGTCTGAGAGTACTCCCACCAGCTGGTCCATGCAGGATCTGAGTGCACGGCCGGGGACTCCGTCTGGGCCAGTCGCTTTCCATGAGTTCACCCTCCAAGAAGGCTGAACCAGTATCTGCAGCAGTGACCATTGGCTCATGTGTATCTGAGGCTGTTGGGATAAGTGACTTTGTTTAACTCACCATCTGTTCAAAGTAAGCGTAGAATGCATTGAGCTCATCAGGCAGGAATGTGTTGTTACCTGCGATTCTGTTTGACTTGGCTTTGTAGCCCTTTGTCGTCAAAGCCTTGCCACAAACTCTGCCCATGTGGTTAGTCTAGGTCTCAAGCTTAGTTTGGTATTGCCCATTATCATTTCTGATAGCTTTACAAAGGGTGTACCTGGATATCCAATATCAGTCAGGGTTGCCTGACTTGTACGCCTCAGACCTGGACTTGAGTGGGGAGTAGATTTCCTAGTTCAGCCATGGTTACTGGTTGGGGAACATTTCAGATTAACTTCTTGGCATACAGTCATGTACAAGTTTTACTAATGAAGTCTGTAATGGTATTCAGGTTGGCCCCTGAGGTCTTGAATATGGACCAATTCACTGACTGTAAGCAGTCTCATAGAAGCCCTTCTGTTGCCTCCAATCAGTGCTGCACTATTTCCTGTACTGGATCTTCGAGCTTTGATTTCTGCTTGCAAACTGGGAGGAGTATAGTGTTGTGATCTGATATTCCAAAATGCAGACAGGGATGGGGCAGTCAGCATCTTTTGACAGTTGTATAGCAATGGTCAAGGATGTTCAGACCTCTAGTGGGGCAGCAGACATATTGATGATACTTTGGCACATTCTTGAGGTTGGCCTGTTGAAGTTACTCACTATGATGACCAAGGCTTTGGGGTATTACATCTTAAGACTTTGTTTGTTTGTTGCATTGTATACTATATCAAGTGCACTCTTTCACTTCTCTGTGGTGTGTATGTAGACTGCTGTCAGGATTGTGACAGTGAACTTGCAGAGCAGGTAGTAGCGAAGTTAGTTTACTGCAAGATATTATAGGTATGAGGAGCAATAACTTGCCAGGGTCGCCATGTCTGAATACCAGGAGGTGTTGAGGAGGCAGATCCCACCACCCCTTGCCTTGAGGCAAAGAAAGATCTGTTTGGTGAACTGAGAAACCTTCGGGTTGTAAGGCAGGGCAGGTGTAGCAGGAGTGAGTCATGTATCTGTAAAACAGAGCACACAGCAGTCTCTCACTTCCCTTTGAGAAGGGGAGTCGAGCTCTTAAGGTCACCCATCTTGTTTTCAATGGCTTGGACATTTGCCAGTAGTATGCTGGGGTAGGGGTACTTGAAATCCCATCGTTTCAGACTCACCTGAAGTCTCCCTCCTCCCATGTTTGATGGATAGATGGCTACTCCTATTTGATCCTGAGAATCAGTGAGGGAAGTCTGCTGCTCCAGATGGTAAGTGTATGCTCCCAGTGAGATCCTGGGCACCAGTCATGGCCTTAGGCGTTCCAGGGGGTTTTGTGGTCAGTTTAGTTGGGCCTCCTCAGTGTTGGGTCACCATGGGGTCAGGTCTTGTTCCAACACTGTTAAAGATGATATTTATGCCATTAATGGGAGTGGGGGTTGGTGAGAGTGAATAAAGTATTTGAAATGGAGCTCTTAGAGAGAGAAAAGGATAAACAAATAGTGATAGTTGAGAGAGAGAAACACGAGTAAGGATGCTAAGGAGAAGTTTGAATCGTTGAAAATGGGTTGACTGTGCAATGCAGGATTTAGGGGTCTCGGGAGGGTAACGGATGTGGAGGAAGCTGATCACATTCTGAAATTATTACACTCTGCTGAGTCCTGAAGGCTGTAAGGTGCTTAGGTGCATGATAAGATGATGTTCCTCCAGCTTGTGTTGAGCCTTGCTGGAGCACTGCAGCAGGCCTGAGACAAATGTTGAGATGGGAACACTGGTGTGTTGAAGTGGCAGGAACCTGGAAGCTCAATTATTTGCACAAGTTAAGCATAGGTATTCAACAAAGCAGTCACCCAGTCTGCCTTTTGCCTTCCCAATGTACAGGAGACCACATTGTGAACAGTGAGTATAGTATGTACTTGATTGAATAAAGTCCACCAGAGGCAGTGGAACAATAACAATAAGGGAAGGTAGGGAGAGAGGTGATGAAATTAAATGGAGTTGAACTGGGAAATAATGTGCACCAACCCTGACCATGCCCACCTGTCTTCAAAGGCTTTGTAAGTGCTGATGGACGCTGCATGCTTTCTCTCAAAGTTCATCCAGGCATGAATGTAGTTGTAGAGGCAGAGCAGGCAGCTGGAGACTGACCTCCTTATGGCCTGCTGCCTGAACTTGTTGATAGCCACTTTGACCACACCCACAAAGTGGTCTTCTGATTTGTCCTCCACTCCTCCCAAAGATCAGGAGGAGGGGCTGAATTACAACCTAAACAACGGGAACAGGTTTTTAAATAACTAGTGAAGATGCAACTGTCCTCAGCCAACATACATGTGGTCCATGGGACTTCAAAATAAACACTTGGGCTGGGAGTCTGTGAACCACCTTTTAACCTAGGTTTGCATGGGACTGCTGCATCCGTTACCCTCTATCCGTGGTCCCCAATGGAAAGTGGGAGAACTCCTGCATAAAGTACTTTGCAACAGGATCTCCCACTGCCTGGTGGTAAAATGGAATGTCAGTTACATCCTCATCAAAGGTGTGAACCTTTTGATCTTTTACTTATAAATTTTGTGTTTGATACTACCTCTCTCAGTAACATCTAAAGAAGGACTGAGGCTCTGAAAGCTTGTGTTTTCAAATAAACCTGTTGGACTATAACCTGGTGTCGTGTGATTTCTGACTTTGTCTACCTCAGTCCAACACTGGCATCTCCATGTCAAGTCATATTCAGGCAGTGAATAAAGGGAAAGTAGTGGAGGGTGTGCAGCACCAGCCTGTAAAAGTAAACCTGCGGGGCCATATGAAAGAAAATTGGAAGGGATTTCCATGAGATGTAAGTTGTGAGGAATGAGCTCCTGAAGGACAACTTAGCTGTCTTTATTTTTGATAAGCAGAGTGGCTATCACACACCTCTGGAGCAGGTGGAACTTGAACATTGGCCGCCTGACCTAGAAGTAGGGACATTTCTACTAGACTGCAAGGGCTCCGAAGAACCATATAAGTCAACAATTCTCTCAATTTGACACCACCAAATCACCTATGCTACTAACAAAAGAACAATTAAAAAGCACACCTCACCAGGGGTAGTGCAATAACACCAACTTTTTATTTAATCAATTTATGTCATAACGTCCTTGAACATGTCTGGAGCAGGTGAGACTTGAACCTGGGGCTCCTTCTGGAACTGTTCTTTGCCTAGCAATAGGAAGAGGCTAGCATTTCCAGCACTGACATGTATAGAGGAGGCCGAGAAACTGAACAAGTCAGAAGTATTCTGTATGCTGATGTTCTCAGAGGGAGAATGCAATGGGATTGAGGTCATGGAAGTACAGGATGAATGTGGGATTACATTGCTTAGTTGGAGGTTAGCGGCTGAGCCTAAAACTCGGAAATCAAGAATCAATTTGACATTTGGCTGAAAAATAGCAGGTGAAAGGAAATGTGAATTTATGGTTAAATGTGATCAGATCTACTTGTTGGCATTGATTGTAAATGCTGACAGAGACCAATTATAATGTGTTTTTGAATTGTATTTCTATCCATGTGAAGCTCAAAGCCATAAGCACAGTGAGACAAGGATTTGGGGCAGTTTAGAATTCGGCAAAGGAGGATAAGGGTCTTCGTTATGAAAGTGAAAATAGACAACGAGGGTAAGCATACCGGGAGCATTAAGAAAGACTGGAAGAGTTTTTCTCGGTATGTGAAGAGAAAAAGATCGGTGAAGACAAATGTAGGTCCCTTTCAATCATGTAGTTAAGCAACCACAGGCCTGAAATTGGGTATCCTAAATTAACACAGCTGGAGAAATCTGGCCTGAAACAAACTTGACCAAACTAAATTAAACAGCCACCAGCAGCAATTGGCCACAGAGATCTGTAAGAGACCAAGGTCAAAGGGGTCAGAAAGGTCAGGGAGCTGGTTTCAACCAAGCTTTGTGCATTGGAGAAGTTTCAGTTGGACTTTCTGGCACTTGGACTTTCAGCCAGTGCCCGAGGACATGCGCTTTACACCCCCTGGCATACCAACTGTGAAGAATGTTGGCATGATCCCATTAGCAGAAGGCCAGAGAACATGGAGAAGATCTGGGGAGAGAAGGGGATAAGAACAAACACCTGGAAGCCACCCCCTCAGTGAAAACTCTCAGCCTTAAGAAGAAGACCCATGGCAGGGGGTTGTGCAGCAACCCAAGAAGACCCACCCTGACCGGTGAGACCTGCCTTCATGGAAAGAGAGTCAGCCTTAAGTTGGAGAAGGAGAGTCCAACAGCTCAGCTCAGACTCATGGGACATTGTGGGTAATATTCTTTCTCCAACAGAGAACACATATTGTGGGGAGTTGGGAAATGCTTACGTAGTGTTTTATGAAGGAATATTCTGTTAATAGAGTGGAACTGCACATAAATTTGGTGTCCTTTCATCTGCTTGCTACCCACACTTGGGTGTGTTTTTTGTGCACAAACTGGCTGAAGTGTCCAAAGCATGGACAAGAGTCAAACGGGCAAATTTATAATGTGGAACTAAGAAATGGCTGACTAATTAAATATATAAAATAAAGACCAAAAAAACTGCAGATGCTGTAAATCAGGAACAAAAACAAAGTGGCTGGAAAAGCTCAGCAGGTCTGGCAGCATCTGTGAAGGAGAAAACAGAGTTAACGTTTCGGGTCTGGTGACCTGAGCTTTTGAGTTCTGAGGAAGGGTCACCGGACCCAAAACGTTAACTCTGTTTTCTCCTTCACAGATGCTGCCAGACCTGCTGAGCTTTTCAAGCAACTTTGTTTTTGTAATTAAATATACAGTTTGGTTCTACCTTCACAAAGGAGAATACAAATAATACACACCAGAAATGTTGAATTCAGAGTTTAATGAGAGAAAATAAAGGAAATCTGTGTTATTAAGGAATTAATAATGGGGAAATTGATGGAATTGAAGGCAGATGCAAGGCCTGATTATTCTACAAGCCAGAGTAGTTAAGAAAGTGGCTCTAGAAATAGTGGGTGTTGATGGCCATCTTTAGGACAGCTACAGCAGGTGATCAAGAAGGCCTATGGTATGTTGGCCTTCACAGCAAGAGGTTTTGAATACAGGAGCAGAGATGTCTTGCTGCAATTGAACAGGTCCTTGGTGAGACCACACCTGGAATGGTATGTGCAGTTTTGGTCTCCTTATCTTAGAATGCTGTTGCTGTAGAAGGAATGCAATGGAAGTGATCAGACTGACCAATTCCTGCTGTATGAATAGATATTGAACTGGTTAGGATCATATTTGGGGTGGTACGTTGGCTCAGTGGTTAGCACTGCTGCCTCACAACACAAGGGACCCGGGTTTGATTCCACCCTCTGGCGACTGTCTGTGTGGAGTTTGCACATTTTCCCTGTGTCTGTTTCCTCCGGGTGCTCCAGTTTCCACCCACAGTTGAAAGATGTGCAGGGATAGGTGAATTCGCCATGCTAAATTGTCCGAAGTATTCGGGGATGTGTAGATTAGTTGGGTTACAGGGGAATGTGTCTGGGTGGGATGCTCTGAGGGTCGGTGTGGACTTGTTGGGTTGAAGGGCCTGTTTCCACACTGTAGGGATTCTATCATCTATTCTATGACCATATTTGCTGGAGTTCAAAACATTCAGGAGGGATATCATAGGAACCTGTAAAATTCGAGCAGAACTAGACAGGATAGTTGCAGGAAGGATGGTCCTGAAGAGAGTCCAGAACTGGGGTCACTGCTTAAGAACATAGTGTGTACCATGTAGTACTGAGACGAGGTGGTGAACCTGTGGAAGTGGCTACTACAGAAACCACGCGAGGGCAAAGCGTTGTATGATTTCAAGAATGAGTTTGATATGGCACTTGGGGTTAAGGGGATAAAAAGATATGTGGTAAAAAGTGGGAAGAAGCTTTTGATGTTCAGCCACGATCTTAATAAATGGCAGAGCAGGCTCCAAGGGCCAATTGATCAACTTCTCAGATTTTCTGTGTTCAGTGTTTTAAGCTGAGTGGTCCCTAACACCAGAAACAAGCTGAATCTATGACTAGTATGAGAACAGTATGCTATATGGTGACAAGTAGCAAAGGAACACGGTACCTTGTAAAATATGCATGTTCTGTCTTGAAATTTGTTTTCACATGCCAAGTGGATTTAACTTTTGTTTAGAGCTGGCTGGCAGATCCACATGGAGGCCCTGAAGGAGAAGAGCACGTCCGTGGTATTTTAACAGAAGCTAAGAGAATTGCAGATCTTTGTGAAGACCCCAAAGAACGGGATGATATACTACGTTCAATTAACGAAATTGGAGCATTGACAGCTAAGCTGTCTGACCTGAAAAGGCAGTATGTATTCCAGAAATGGCTAGCTGAAGGCTAAATGATGATTTACAAGTTTATTTACTTGAATCTATTAGGTCTTGTCCTTTCAGCAGGAAATTTTCACTTCAGTTGATAAATGTATAATAATTAAACTTGCTCTGAATATATACTGTTAACAATTCTGCTGAAATTTCCATTTAATTGTTGTGGCATGATTCAAATGTTTGAAAAATTAGTATTCACATTTATGTGCATTTAGCTTCATTTATTTAAACATTGTTGATTTACGTTTAGAGCATAGTTGTGATCCTGTATTTCCTGATTCGCAGAGGTAAAGGTGATACTCCAGAAGCACGTGCTTTGGCAAAGCAAATTGCTACCACACTACAGAATTTGCAGACTAAGGCAAACCGAGCAGTGGCCAATAGTAGGCCTGTAAAAGCAGCAGTCAATTTGGAAGGCAAAATAGAACAAGCCCAGCGCTGGATTGATAATCCGACTGTTGATGGGCGTGGTGTGGGTGAGTCCATTGAAATTTATTGAAATGTTCAATGAGTGATAATTCATGTTTCTGAAATGCATGTTTCTCACTTGCAGGGTGCAAGGGCTTGCATTAACTTGATTTGTGTCACCCTTTAGACGAAAGCAGTATTAAATTTGTCTTCTCCACCCTTATCGGTGTTAAATTAACATGATTCAACCAGTTAGAAATGTTGAAACTTTGCACTTCAGCAGTAGTCATATAAGGAGTTCCTATCTGAAGTCAAAAATACGTACCACGGGTGACACTTAATTTTGTGTTTTGACCTGTAGAAAGAAATCTTCACAGTCAGAGGATTGTTGCAGTGCAGAAAAAGACCTTCAGCCCCTTGGCTGTCTGAACAAAAATCTCACTGCCATTCTTCAGATTTTTCACTGTAATCTTGCATATTGTTCCATTCCAAATAACGTCTAATTCCTTTTGGAATAGTACCATTGAACCTGCCTCCACCACACTTGGGTAACGCATTTCAGACCCTAACAAGTTCAGTTAAAGTTTTTGTCATATCACTTCTTCTGCTTTTATTAATTAGTTGAAATATGTGCCCCCTCATTCTCAACCTTTTCATGGGTGGTAATGTTCTGTCCCTATTTATTTTGTCAGAACCTCTCCTGATCGAGGATGCTGCAATCGGGTCTCTTCTTGGTCTTCTCCACTCCAAGGAAAATAGATCCAACTTCTACAAACTACCTTCCTAACCTAAATTACTGACCATTGAAGCTATTATCTTAAATCCTTCCTTTTCCATCTCTATCCAACAACTTTGGCAACTTATCCACATCCTTTTGAAGTTCTACAGTATCCTCCTTATAGTTTAAAATACTGCCAAGGTTTTTGTTATTATCAACATGCTTTGAAATTATGTTGTTTAACATGTATATCTGTGTTACACATGGGAATTCAGCAAAAGTAATGCCAAACTATTAATGTCCTTGAGGTTACCATTGACCAGAAACTGAACTGGACTAGCCGTGTAAATACTGTGGCTACAAGAGATCGGAGGGTGGGAGTTCTACAGCACTGAACACACCTTCTCCCCTATGCTTGTCCACCGTTTCTGTGGTGCAAGTTTGGAGTGTGATAAAACACTCAGCTTGCCTGGATTAGTGCAACTCCCAATGACATTCAACACCCTTTGGAACAAAACTGCCCAATTAGATTGGCCTTCAACATTCACTCTCTTCACTGTTGCACAGTATGTACTATAAGCAAGATACGTTGCAGTAACTTAACAAGGCTCCTTCAACAGCACCATGTAAACTTGTGATCTCTACCACTTAGAACAAGAGCAGCAAATGCATGGAAACACCACCACCTGCAAGTTCCCCTCCAAGCCACTCACCATCCTGACATGTAACTATATGCTGTTCTTTTACTGTCACTGATCAAAATCCTCAAACTCCATTCTTGACAGTACTGTGGCTATCCCAATACCCCAAGGAGTGCAGAGATTCAGGGACGCAGCTTATAACCTCTTCGAGAGCAATTGTATATTATGGACACCAAATGTTGGCTTAGCTAATGACATCCACATCTCATGAAGTAATTTGTAAAAATCATCTATATCCGGAGAAGCAAGTTTCTCGAGAATGACTATTGTGAACTCCTCCACAACTTTCCCCAGCTCAAACCTACAAACGTTAACTACAAACCTTCCCCTTGCACGATAAACTCTCTCGGCTGCAAAATAACTGAATTTTGTGACTGCAAGTTCTAGAGTTAGAGTGTGCAACCAAGATTTAGAGTGGCAATGCCATGTGTCATAGAAAGGGAATGGAAATATAGCGGGTAATATCAGTATTTTTTTCCTCCTTCATTCACCAAGTAGATATTGTAGAGAAGCAGGTTTTAAACAAATAAAAATCTCTTACCTGCTAATATTTTCTATCAAGGCTTATTTTGAGAGAGATGTTGGATTTACTCATGACAATCCTTGTAGGAAATGATAACTTGTAAAAGAAAATGGGAAAAGGTGTGTGTTCCATTTGGACTTGCATTTAAAGAAAAATGAAAAAGCATATTCCTAAGGTATTATAATAAGTCTCAAGATTTACAAGCCTTGAAAATGATCTGAAAAATATTCAAAAGCTTTATTGTAATATTTAAGACAGAGTTGAGGAGGGTAGTGAATCTGTGGAACTCTTTCCTGCAGAGGAGTGTACAGATTGGGTCACTAAGAATATTTAAGGCTGAGATTGAAAATATATCAATCAGCAAGGGAATGAAGAGTTATGGGGAAAAGGCAGGCAAGTGGAGTTGAGGATTATCAGTTGAGTCATAACCTCATTGAATAGTGAAGTTGACTTGATGGGCTGAATGGCCTACTTATGCTCCTAAGCCTTGTACTAATATTGCTAAAAAGTTCCTGGAACATTAATTATTTAAATTGAAGTTTAAACCTTCAAATAATTTTAAAATGCTACAGTTTCTTTGTGAGAAGGACAGTTTTAAAGCAGCAGCTGGAAAAATCAGTAGTGCCAGATGGATAGCCAAGGAAGATCCAAGGCATATTTTTGAAATTTTCACACAGTTGCCTTAAAATTGCGAGAAAGAAGACAACCTATAGATGTAAATTATTCAAATGGTATGCGGCTATGATTTCGAGATTTAGATGTGTTCCGTACAGAAAAGCACTAAGATTTGCTTAGCAATTGGGAATGAATGTTTATACAGATTTAACATATCGAGATTAATAATTGAAGATCTTAAAAAAAAAAAACTCTAAAAGATAGAGTTCATTTGGAGATGAATTCAGAATCAGAATTAGCTTTTGTATTGATCAGTTAGAAATTATGCCATTTGGACAGAAGCCTACAGAATCCATGGACCACTTAGCAAGCAGATGTAGAGCAATTGTGACTTTTCAAATGGTGAGTTAGTAAACAAAAACTAAAATGGTAGTTGTAACCACACCCATGGAAGCTTTATCCAGATAAAATAAAGACTTTTAGCATTAAACAGCCACTGGATAATAGAGGAAATATAACTCCAAGCTCAGAAATCCATGAATTTTCTCGGCCTAAATAAAAACTCAACGGTTGAATTACGACCAGAATACTGAAACACATTTAAGGCATTTGGAAGGTCTGGCGTTCTGCATGCACCAAGGAAATGTCCAGCTTTCATCAATTTTGCAACTCGTATGGTAGAAAACACCAATGGCAGAGGCAGTGCACTAGAGCAAAGGGTGATACAGCTACAAAGAACTCTGCACCAATGAAAATAGACTGCACACTAAGACTACCTTCAAGCAATTATAAAATCCATCTAGTAGGTAGGTTTATTGATGAGTCAATATATGACTAGTTACAAAATGAGACAGTGAGTAGAAACATTTATTTCACACTGTTAATCTTGTAGAAAATGTCAATGTCATCAAACTATCCAAAGGATTTCCAAAAATTCACATTATTTTCTGAATATATTTGATTATCAGCCAAGTACGACACTGGGAAATGCTATTAAGGTACCTTAGCGAATTATTTGCAAAAGACGCATATGTCCACAGCCATGGAAAATCATGATAAAACCTGTAAATGTGAAACTTTCCGCAAACTGCGATTTACCAGTTCTGCTTGCAGGATTAATTGTGCTGGAATGCAAGTGCAGTGCAATTCTCCAGGATTTTCAAACGTTGTACAGTGTAGTCACTACTGGAGCATGCAGGAACATAAGCATGCTGTAGCTTCTCAGCAGTCACAGTCCATGGAAGCAGTAGACAATTCATGATATATGTACAAAGCTAAAACTTGCTGATATCTGGTTTGCATTCAGTAGTGATTGTAATATGGTTGGTCAGCCAGCTTGACTTCACAGAATGAGTTACCTGATTAGGGCTGTTAATCTGGTCCAGTTGGCGTGCCCTGGCCGACACACAAAGGTGAATGTCGAAGGTAGTAACACTGATGCCTGATTCAGTATGAGACAGTACTGTAGTCAAGAACTGTTCGTGTGTAAATAAATGGTGACTTGATGACTGGATGCTGGCCGCTGTAAAGCTATTTCAGTGGTGATGAGAGTAAAGCACGATTATGAAGAAACTCCTTTGCAATAGTCATCTTTGAGTTGGGTTAAGCATTTTCTTGCATCATGCCTTTACTTGGGAAGCTTGACTTGTTCAATTTTGCCGTCAAGGATTGGACCCAGTACACGAAAGAGTGGTAATTTTTTTGCAGGTAAATGACATTGTGGCAGACAAAATAGCAATGAATAATTCTGACAGCCTGTGGAGCTGCAGCTTTTTCTGTAATTAGGAGCCTAACTTTTCCTGAGGTACCAGATACTAAAACTTAGAATTGATCGCTTTAATTGAGGAATATTATAACCTGAAAGCTGCCTCTAATTCTAATTGCTTTTACTGACCAATTTGAGAAACAGAAGAATCTGTATTGGGGTTTTTGACCAGGTTAAAACAACGGGCAGAAGTCTGTGAATTTGGTTTAACCCTTTATGAGATGCTTAGAGACCCTCTGGTATGCAGGATTAATAATGTTAATTGTGCAGCAGTGCCGGTTACCTGAACCTCAGCTGGACTTCAAACAGGTGCTACGACTGGTTTTAACATTAGAAAATGCAAGAGGAGCTTTTGAGTTGCAAGGTTTTCCGACGTAAGTAGATACCCTCAGTTGGTGATCACCACTTGAGTGTAGAAAATTACACAGCAAATATCCTGATCAGAGTGGCTCCAGGTGAGCCCACAGCAAACCCCAAAACAAAGCCAAGCCTCAGACAAATGATTAAAATTTTATTCAGAATCCTGGCCAGCAAGCCAATATAGTTATTGCCAGTATGCAGACTTGAGACAACTAAAGAATCTGCTACACCGAAATTTGGAGCACTAGCTGTTGAAAAGTGAATAAGAACTTATTTTTTTTTTCTTGGTTTCTCCATCAACCCCATGCCAAACTTATTTTTATAGCGTTATTCCCGATTGTGATGTAGCTCCTACATTCCAGTCAGCACTTCTCAGAAACCCAGTCATTTTGAATGTCAAAATGTCAAGAGTTAATGCTTTGCTAAACACTCGGTCCTGGTAAAGCTAGTATTTCGTTTAATTTAACAACTTGCCTTTTTATTAGGCCAAGCAGCTATTCGTGGACTTGTAGCTGAGGGACGTCGACTGGCAAATGCAATGATGGGACCCTATCGGCAGGAACTCGTTGGAAAGTGTGACAAAGTAGAACAGCTAGCTGGACAACTTGCAGAGTTGGCAGCTCGGGGTGAAGGTGACAGTCCCCAGGCCAGAGCAGTTGCTGCACAATTGCAGGATGCACTAAAGGTACATGTGCTTAAAATGCGATTTGGCCATTTTGTTTTACTAAATACAAATGCAAAATACTGCGGATGTTACTAATCCGAAATCAAAGCAGGCTTGGTGCAGTTCATGGTTCAGATTGGTGATTTATTGTTAGAATATTTCTGATGGAAGGTCATTGATTTGAAATATTAACATTGATTCTCTTTCCACAGACGTTACCTGATCTCCTGAGTATTTCCAACATTTGGTGATTCAATTTACAATCTTATAGGTGCATTAAAGTATTCAATGTTATTTGACATGCACTTCATAACCTGCATACTCTATGATTCCAAGCAAACATAAAGAATGCTGAGAAAAACTCAGATCTGGCAGCATCTGTGGAAAGATAAACAGAGCTAATGTTTTGAGCCCTATATGACCCCTCTTCTGAAGAAGATTCAAGCCAGACTCAAAACATTAACTGTTTCTTCCTCCACAGATGCTGCCAGACCTCCTGAGTTTCTCCAGTGTAATGTGTTTGTTTCAGATACAGTATTTTGCTTTCGTGATTCTTGACAATTCTGTTCACAAAATAACTTCACTGTTTGACCAGGATCATTTTGCTTTTGTGACAATCAAGTTCTTACTGACAATATTTCTATATGTTTAATGAATGAATTATTCTAAGTATTCACCTGTAGTATAACGAAACATTCATGAGAATGCTGAAACTTTGAATCTTTCACCATCTTTAATGACCTGATCTCTAAACATGAGCTACCGAGATCAGAGTTTGGATATAAACTATTATACAACAGAGTAGAATAATCAAACTCTGTATTGTACTAGCCCATAACTTGTGATTTAATATTTTAATCTTTCAAGAAAAAATACAAGATGGTAAGTTCCTCAATTGTAACTGGCTACCAATGAACAATGTATGATACTATTACATGGAGATGAATTCTACAGTCCTGCCACTGCACATCTGATGTTGACTGTAAATGTCACAGTGCACTGTAGTTTTGCCCAAAATTAATTTTGAGAACTACTTTTTTCACTGCTCCCTACTTTGCAGTCTATCCTGTGCTTGAAAATCTTTGTTCTCTGCTGCAAAATCTATTCCTTCATCTCCATGCATCCCAGTAAATCAAATTTGAGGTCTCAATTTTTAAGCCCCTTGATGACAACATTTCATTTTACATCATTAGTGTTCTCAGGCAATACATCCTATTTGTTTTTGTAATTACTACAACATTTGGCATCACTCTATTTTTGTCTGTCTTTAGCTCAAAAGGCTGTGTTTTTTCAAATGGTTTTAGTGCATTATTATTGTTCCCTTATATTACATTTCTTTCACCTTGTTTATTCGAGTTTGCCTATTCCCATTGCAAATGCCATTTACATTTAATTTATGTGAGGCCTATTTAATTCTTGTTTGCCTTGAAGGTAAAATAATACTTCTGTCATATTTATTCTTACTTAGGATCTAAAAGGCAAAATGCAAGAAGTCATGACCCAGGAAGTATCTGATGTTTTTAGTGACACGACCACTCCAATTAAGTTGCTTGCTGTAGCAGCAACAGCTCCACCAGATGCACCAAATAGAGAGGAGGTAAGTGGGAATATTGACACAGTAACAGAACGAGGTTTTGCTTGCATAACGTCGCAATCTAAACTATAAATTCAAAGGAGTTTGAGCTGTATTCAGTAACAATTGTAACAATTGTAACTATCTTTGTTTATTAAATAAGTGAACCAAACTAGATAGAGAATCTTACTAGAGATAGTAAGAAATGCTGGAGTCAGAGATAACACGGTGTGGAGCTGGAGGAACATAGCAGGCCAGGCAGCATGAGAGGAGCAGGAAAGCTGATGTTTCGGGTTGGGACCCTTCTTCAGAAATGGGGGAGGGGGAAGGGAGCTCTGAAATTAATAGAGAGGGGAGGGGTGGGGCTGGGGAAGCTAGGTCGGATGGTGATAGGTGAGTGCAGGTCGGCAGTGGTGGGGATTGGTCAGTGAGGTGGGAGGAGCGGGTAGGTGGGAGAGAAGATGGACCGGTTGTGTCAGGTCAAGGAGGCGGGGATGAGAGGGAGGGTTGGTCATGAGATGAGGCTGGGGGTGGGGAGATCTTAAAACTAGTAAAGTCGACATTGAGCAAGGTGGAATATGAGGTGCTGTTCCTGCTGTTTCCAGGTGGTGTCATTGTGACACTGGAGGAGGCCCAGCACTTCCGGTGGTTGCAGGGAAAGGTGGTGGGGGTAATGGGGAGTGTGGAGCGGACAAGGGAGTCGTGGAGAGAACGGTCCCTATGGAAGGCAGATAGGGGTGGGGAGGGAAATATATCCTTGGTTCTGGGGTCAGATTGGAGGTGGTGGAGAATGATATGTTGAATCTGGAGGTTAGTGGGGTGATACGGGAGGACAGGGGGGTATCTGTCTTTGTTTTTGTTTCGGGGAGGGGATGTGAGGGCAGAGGTGCAGGAAACGCAAGAGATGCGGTCAAGAACATTTTTTGACCACTGAAGTGGGGTGAAGTTGCGGTCCTGGAAGTAAGAGGACATCTGGGATGTTTGGGAGTGGAATGCCCGATCTTGGGAGTAGATGCAACGGAGGAATTGGGAGTAGGGGATCGCATTCTTGCAGGAAGGTGGGTGAGAGGAGGTGTAGTCTCGGTAGCTGTGGGAGTCGGTGGGCTTGAAATAGATGTCGGTTTCGAGGCAGTTACCAGAGATGGCGACAGAGGGGTTCAGGAAGGAGAGGGAGGTGTCAAAGATGGTCCAGGTGAACTTGAGTTTGGGGTGAAAGGTGCTAGTGAAGTTGATGAACTGTTCAAGCTCCTCATGGGAGCACAAGGCAGTGCTGATACAGTCATCAACGTAGCGGAGGAAGAGGTGTGGGATAGTGCCATTGTAGCTGCAGAAGAGGGACTGTTTCACGTATGCCTGCCTCTTTGTAGGATAGTTTGGGCCCATGTGGGTTCCCGTGACCACCCCCTTAGTCTGTAGGAAGTGGGAGGAGTTGAAGGAGAAGTCCTTAAGGGTAAGGACGAGTTTGGTTAAGTGGATAAGAATGTTGGTGGAGGGGGACTGGTTGGGTCTGTGGGAGAAGAAGAAGCGGAGGGCTTTTAGGCCATCCATGTGGGGGATACAAGTGTCCACAGTGAAGATGAGGTGTTGGGGTCCTGGGAAATGGAAGTCTTGGAGGAGGTGGACGGCCATCTCTGGCACCTTTACCTGCAACTGCAGGAAGTGCTACACCTACCCCTACATCTCCTCCCTTGCCTCCATCCAAGGACCCAAAAAAAACCTTCCACATCAGACAGATATTCACCTGCACATCCACTAATGTGGTTTACTGCATCCGCTGCTCCCGATGTGGCCTCTACATCAGAGACACCAAGCGGAGGCTCGGAGACCTCTTTGTAGAGCACCTGCGCTCGGTTCACGACAAACAACAGCACCTTCCAGTCGCAAACCATTTCAACTCCCCCCTCCCACTCCCTGGACAACACATCCATCCTGGGCTGCCTCCAGTGTCACAATGATGCCACCCGGAAACTGGAGGAGCAGCACCTCATTTCGCCTTGGGAGCCTACAACCCAATGGTCTGAATGTAGACTTTACTAGTTTCAAAATCTCCCCACCCCCAGCCTCATCTCATGACCAACCCTTCCTCTCATCCCCGCCTCCTAGACCTGACACAACCTGTCCATCTTCTCTCCCACCTATCCGCTCCTCCCACCTCACTGACCAATCCCCACCACTGCTGACCTGCACTCACCTATCACCATCTCACCTACCTTCCCCAGCCCCACTCCTCTTCTCTCTATTAATTTCAGAGCTCCCTTCCCCTTCCCCCATTTCTGAAGGGTCCCAACCCGAAACATCAGCTTTCCTGCTCCTCTGATGCTGCCTGGCCTGCTGTGTTCTTCCAGCTCCACACTAATCAGAGAACCTTACTAGTTTACTATTTACTATCACCAGTTGTTTAACTTCAAAAAGAACATGCAAACAAGGGCTGTTGCAAATGATTTTATTTGCTAATAGGCAACACATTGGAACATTGATTCATGACATTGTGAAATGGTGAGATATGAGCTTACATCCCAGTGCACTACACTGCTAAGTAGCCAATCATGACTGGTTGCTTTTCGAAAGTGCTAAGTGGAACTGGAGTGATTCTTTCAAGGTGGGATGACTACCTCCCTATTGTCTTCCCCTATATTGCACCCTTTTGTATGGTTGTTTCACATCAATATAGACATGGCTTTTGACTGCGTTTCAAAACTTTGAGTAATTTAGCTTAGTATAATCAAATCGGACCATAAATACAGGATAAAGTGTCTTTTTATCTCAAGCATTTTATTATGGATTGATGACTGAATTCTCCTGTGATATTGGTGAATGAGTGTTCAATAAAATATATTGGCTTACAAGCGTAAGTATATTGGTAAGTATATACTAGCAAGACCTGTAAGTTGTTTTTTTTTTGTTTGCCAAACTAATGATGGAAAGAAAAATTTGCTTTTAATTATTTTGCATTAAATATATAAAAATTAAAAAATGCTGTATTGGCAGGTGTTTGAAGAAAGAGCAGCTTATTTTGAGAACCATGCTGCCAAGCTTGGTGCCACAGCAGAGAAAGCTGCTGCTGTTGGGGCTGCAAATAAAAGCACAGTGGAAGGTATACAGACAGCTGTGAAATCTTCCCGGGAGTTAACACCACAGGTAGGTATTTGTTAAATACACAATCAGTACTGTCAACGTTGTGATTTGTAACAACGTTTCCCCTCGTTTTCAGCTTGGCGTTCACTATCTAGTGGAATGAACAGAAAATGGATCATGCTATTTCAATTAGCTGCAGATTGCATTAATTGACTTACTTTAAAATGGCTTTTCCACTTTAAAGTTTTATTTTCATCCTGCAAGGGAGTGTTGGGAGCATGAAATACACTCAAAAGGTTGTTGAGTCAGACTACAAAACTTAAGCAGTATTTGGGTATTCAGTTGTTTTGACATAGCCTACAGGGCTATGGGACAAGAATGGAAAGGTGGGATTAGTGTAGTCAGATCTTCGACTGGCAAGGCCTTGATTGTCCAAATGGCCCCCTTCTCGCAAACATCTAAACGGTCAGCCACACAGTTCTGAATCTATATTTATAGTACTGGTAGAGTAAAAGGGAGTGCTGCAGAAATGTCAAACCCCCGAAACTCAATGCTCAGTTTGACTATTGCTGAATTATTTGTACAGGTGGTTTCAGCTGCTCGCATCTTGTTGAGAAATCCTGGTAACCAGGCAGCCAATGAACATTTTGAAACCATGAAGAACCAGTGGATTGATAATGTTGAGAAAATGACCGGTGAGCAGAAGCATTAAATTTGCAAATCGTGCTGTTTGTCTGATTGAAACTGCAAAAGGTCATTGAGTTTTCCCTGCTTCCTCGTATTGTTGGCTATCCTAAGAAGAAGCTCCACAAACCAACCTTGTTTTGAGCTTGAAGCCTTCATTCACAAGACAATATATTAGCAAATGGCAAGAATTTTTAGTCTAATCAACCATCTTTGTACTGTTAAGATGCTTCTATCATGAGATGCTTAAATGTAACTGACCCAGCACTTTGAATGTAAGTTTGGGTTTGTTGATCCTGTGTTCTCAACAGGGAGCAGCACTTGAACGAATAGCTGATCACAGAATCTGCACCACTGTGCTTGTAATGCAGCCTCTAACTGATAATCCCTTTTTCAGTATGGGTATCCTTGTGAATTGGGTGAACTATTTCATTCATCTTCACTGTAACATACATATAAACATATGAAAACTGAAAGAACTGTGGATGCTGTAAATCAGGAACAAAAACGTGGTGACCGTTCTGAGGAAGAGTCACTGGAACCAAAATGTTAACTCTGATTTTTTTCTTCATAGTTGCTGCCAGACCTGCTGAGCTTTTCCAGCAACTTCTGTTTTTGTATATAAACATACGAATTTGGAGGAGAGGTAGGCCCCAAGCCCGTTAAGTCTGCTCTGCCATTCAGTAAGATCTTGGCTGATCATTTTTCTTTTCCCAAATTCCACATTCCCATCTATTCTCATTAACTTTTGATTCCCTTGCCTAACAAGAATCAATCTACCTCCACCTTTTTAAAATTGCTCAATGGCCCTACCTTCTGCATATTCTGAGGTGGAGAATTCCAAAGTCTCACAATCCTGTGGAAGAAAAATACTTCCTCCTCATCAGTCCTGAAAAAGTGACCCCTTACTTAGAAATGGTGTCCCCTAATTCCAGTTTCTTTCCCACAAGAGTGAACATTTTTTCCATGTCCACCTAATCCCAACTGTAAGGATCCTATAAACTTCACCTCTTAGTATTCTGAACTCCAGTGAAAACAAGCCCAGTCGTCCAATTATATCTCAATAAGACAGCCTACTCATTTCAGGTATCAATGTGGTAAACCATCTCTGAAACACCTCCAATGCATTGCCATCCTTGCTTAAATGATAGAGATGAGAACTGGACACTGTATTCAAGCTGTGTCATCCATGTCCTGTATAACTGAAGCATAACATCCTCACCTCTGTTCAAAAATTGCTTCAAATGTTTTTATTTCTGTACCTAATTTACAGGGGGGGAAAAAAAACCATGTTGCGTAAATCACACTTTTTTCCATGACTTGAAAGCTATTTTCTCTGTTTTAAAATGAATCCAGTTTCTCTCTTCTCTCTTAGGTTTCCTACCCAGGAAGCACATGAACGCTGTCCAACCTTTTGTTATCCATTTTACAGTAAAAATGCTGCCATATGTTTGTGTGATGACTTTTCTGTTGAGGATCATTTATTACAGCTTGCTTCATCTCTCTGAATTAAAGAATTGTGTCTGATTTGAACATACAATGTTGACCACGACGAACTGTTAAGATGAATTAGCAGTGTTGAACAAGCAGATACCTAGTATGCTTCGTAAATATCAATTTAATCTGTACCTTCCCTCCATGGTGTTAACTCCGTGTTTAGGAAGCGTCCAGTGATTAAATTCAAAACAAGTCCTTTTCAAGCAGCACTTCTCAGATAAAATCAAATTTCTGTCCCTATGTGACTGAGTGTTTGTTTGTTTTTAAACAAAAGTTAAATAATTGTACAAATCTTTAAATGTGCTATTTTGAGAATATATTTCTAAATGGTCAGTAATGTGCAGCTGCATTCTTGTTTTTGTTTCATGGTTCGTGTCAGCATGTCACCCAAAATTTCCAGCTATTCCAAACTGCAAGCTTTTGTATTAAATGAGCTGAGTTTCAGTCACAACTTGAATATCAGGATTATATTTGATCAATTTAATTCTGATAATGCTGAGTATTAATGTGTCATGTATTTCATAGGTTTGGTGGATGAAGCGATTGATACCAGATCTCTCTTGGATGCCTCTGAAGAAGCCATCAAGAAAGACATAGACAAGTGCAAGGTAGCCATGGCCAATGTACAACCCCAAATGCTGGTTGCTGGAGCAACAAGCATTGCCCGTCGTGCAAACCGAATTCTACTGGTCGCAAAGAAGGAAGTCGAAAATTCAGAAGACCCAAAATTCCGTGAATCAGTCAAAGCAGCATCTGATGATCTAAGTAAAACTATCTCTCCTATGGTAATGGATGCTAAAGCTGTCGCTGGGAACATTTCAGATCCTGGTAAGATCCACTGAGGTTTTATTGCTAATTTTGTACTTTCACTGTATTGTTGCAAATGATTTTGACTTCTCTTGTTTTTACCTGTTGCATTAGAAACAGTTCATTCTGACTTCAAAGTGGATGTTATTCACTGTAGTTAAGACTATAAGAACGATTGCAGTACATTAAGGGTCTTCAGCTAAAGACTTGAAGTTGAGGTGCTTAAGATAAAATTTGTTTGACCTCAGGTGCTCAAACTTCCATGACAACTTGATATGATTTTGTTGAGTTCCTGTACCGTTTTCATCACAATTGAACGTTTTGCAATCACTTAATCTCAATTCTGTCCAGTTTCTAAAATTTCATTGATCTACGTATAAGTCTGCACAAGTGCTTTTGCTTTCCAGACTGATGTATTATCGAACTTGCTATTTTCTAGAAATAAAAGCGTCTGCTTCTGAATTCAATAAAAATGACTGAGCAGAAAAGGTATGATTTGTAAAAATTGAAGTTAATTAGTTTTGATTTTTATTTATCTCCCCTTAGGGCAGCTTTGTACATAAACAAAATTGTCACTGGTTTTTCTCGATGGGGTATGCTTTTCTGATTTTAAATCTTAATGACCCTCGTTGGGCTAGTGTAGGCTTTAAAACCAGAAGTGTGTGTTCATTTAAGACATTTTTGATCAGTTTATTTTGGTCAATAATCCTGTGATTCTTACCTGTAGGTTTGCAGAAAAGTTTCTTGGATTCAGGATATCGAATTTTAGGTGCTGTAGCCAAAGTTAGAGAAGCCTTCCAGCCTCAGGAACCAGAATTTCCTCCTCCTCCACCTGATCTAGATCAACTTCATGTAGGTCTACATTTGATATTAACATAGACTGTAAATTTTTGATCTTTGGCTTTACTTGGTTAAATAAATTCTGTTGCTTCTGATGGTGTACAAAGAAAGCCATGTCATCAGGATGCGAATCTGGGAAAATAATATTCAGAACGTAAAGGCTTATTTATTAGCAGAATTCTTAAATAAAATACTTGCTGTAAGGAAAATTTTACTGCTTTTTTTGTTTCAGATGAACATGTTAATGATACATGTGAGCCAAGTTAGGTGATTAACGTATACAAAAGATTTTGATCCAAAGACCTAACTTTATTACTTGTTTCAGAAATATAACTTCTAGTTTTAGGAATTAGTGCTAAATGTAAGATAAATTGAAATATTGATTGGAGAAACTGCTAAACAACTCTGAAGTAAGTCCACTTTAAATAGATCTGAGGCATTTACAGTTTCAAAGGGTACTCTGTTTGTTTATTTTGTAAAGTTTGAGTGAAGAGAGAAAACTACGCAATGGCTGACACATCTGTGAACCTTTGGTAGGCAAAGGAGGTTTGCAGTTATTTCAACAAAAGATGTAGATTGTAGTTCCCAGATCAAAGAAACTAAAGTCATCTTTGTAAACGAAGGCTTGGTGGACCCATAGACTCTGGAGTGAGAGCTGTGACCTCACTCCCAACCCTCTGGAAAAAAAGTGCACGTTGTTCTTGTGGATTCTGAAATTGTAAAGGTTTTGGAGTTAAGACAATTTTATATTTCTGTGTGAATCATTCAAAATATTCCACATTTGTGATGGAGATGAGTTGAGAGGTTTATGGATATTCCTTTGTTTAATTCATATATTGTTCATTGGGCAAAATTTGGATAGGAGCTTATACTCAGTTTGGAGACCCAGTCCATGTGGGAGAAAGGGATTGGGAAAATTAGCCTAGCTTGGACCTCGAGGAAGTGGTCTACAGTGAATAAAAACAAACAACTGTGGATGGTGTAGATCAGAAACAAAAACAGAAATTGCTGGAAAAGCTCAGCAGGTCTGGCAGCATCTATGGAGAGAAATCAGTCAATATTTTGAATCGAGTGACCCTTACTCAAAACTGATTAGTTTGAACATACCATCTTATGAAATTTAACCTTTACTTCTGAGTCCTGCTGAATAGCAATTAGAAATATAGATTTCTGATGAATCTGGACGTATGCACATTCATCCTTTTGTAATAATCATTTTATTGAATCACCTGTTGTAACTAACAAGGTGTCATACATTTTTAATGACTTGGGTTGATATGGGAAATATTGCACTATTCTGTCTATTTAATATCCTCAACTGATAAGGTTTTGTCTTCTGAAATGATTAGGTTACATCTTTCATTGTTTCCTAGTACTTCATTTCATTATTGTATTGTTCAATCCAAGTAAGAAAGAAATGAATTTAAAAACTTGGGTTTTTCGCAATTTAGTTGAACAAATTCTCCCTTGTACATTGTGATTAGTGAGGGGAAAGGAGCGATGCGCATTGTGAAATTCTTTGTACTTAACTAAAATGCTTCCTTTTGCTAAAAATGTTGATAATTTAAGATCTATAATAAGATCTGACTGGGATAAAATGTGTTGGTTAGCTAATTGAGGATTATTTAATGGCTTGTTTAGATTTTCATTGCATTGGAATAACATGTCTTGAGAGTGTAACAATAAATATGCACACATCTGATCAACTAAAGATATAAAGTAGGGACTGTTATGACCCACTGTGGTAGCACATCGTAAATTGGGCCCTGATATTCATGGAGTTGTACCAGATAATTTTTTTTAAGGGTAAATGTGGTACTGCAATTTATCTGACTTTGAGGTCAAAGTTGATAGCCAACATTGATCAGGTTTCTGTAATATATAAGAATTATTATTTATTTGGAGTTAATAAACCTGTGCTACAAGTATACAGGTATAAACTATTGACATTAAACACTAGCTAAAATGCTAATTCCCTTTTAAAACCCCCTTGCAAACAGACAAAATAGCTTATTGGCAGAGGAAAACTGGAAACTTGGTTCAGTGGTCATTGCTTCCCGATTCCTATGTCCAGATGATCCTCCCACCAATCAGGTCCTTTGTATTCAGGTTGTCTTTCTCTGGAAGCTTTCACTGGTTCGTAAGAAGTACAGAGTGTGACGATATCTGCCTTTTAAGTGGGATTTGTTTGTCATGTTTTTTTATTGAAGAGGAGTGTTGCCAAAGTGGTGGCGTGTTGCCTGCTCCATGGAAAGCAGAGTAAATAGTTTTCTTTTGTCTAATTTTCAAAGAAGCATGAGTGGGTGGAGCCAGGCTCTCTTTGACCCGGACTTTAGTTTATGTATTGGGTTTTGGAGTTGAAGCTGCTAGAAACATCTGTCTCTGCTATTAGATTGATTCTTTGGTTATTTTCTTTTCTCGTGGGTGGAGATGGCAGCGAGTGAGAGAAATCAGAATTTGCCATTGCTAAGGGTGTGTTTATGGGATGCTGCTATATTGGAACAGTTGATGGGTAGTAGTTAAATAATAGTTATTTACTGTTTCTCCGTTAAATAATAGTGTTTTGTTAAGTATTCTGAGAGTTAAAGTTACACCAATTTTTCTTAGTATTTTAATTGTGGTGTAAGAATGAAGTATGTTTTGCTTAAAACCTAGTAGTTTGGCCAATCAAATCACATCTGGAACTCTGTGCCTTATACTTTGCTTTAAATAAGATAAAAGTTAGATCTAGGCTATCTCCTTGATATGTTCTGAGGAGGTTTGGTCCGGTCCCTAACAAGTGACTAATTCACTTGGAAACTGTCTCTGATTTATTGATTTAGACGTCACAGCTCACAGAACTGCTGCAGGAAGGTTAACTGGTTTCCTTCAAGTTTAAACTGAGATTTTTTTTTAAACTATAGAGAACACATAGCTGCTTGGAACGACAATAATCACACGCTTTTCTTGTCTTTTTCTGTGTCTCTAACTTGTTTGGAGTTCAACCTATGCAGTTAATTTAGAATTAGTCTGGGCTCTTGATCCTTTGCAAGAAACCATGGTTGCAAAAAACAGAATTCACAATATGTATTGATTTTTCTTATGACAAAATTATGCAACCGAGTAAATCTTTCTCCTTGTTCTTTCTCTTTGAATTCTTGAGTCTTTAAAGGCACAAAAATAAATTGACATGGTTCTTACAGGACAAATTGTGAAATTTCAGCACAAGATGTCTAATTATCTTATACATTTCTGAAGTATCCCTTGTCTTGTGTTTTATGTAATTGAAGAGTAGAAGCAGTATACTAAATGTTTACTTTCTGGAAATCCTTTCAAATATGATGATTTCATTGCTTTGTTTACAGTTGAATGATGAACCTGCTCCTCCCAAACCACCACTTCCGGAGGGTCAGGTTCCTCCACCAAGACCACCTCCCCCTGAGGAAAAAGATGAAGAATTCCCTGAAATGAAAGCTGGAGAAGTGGTCAATCAGCCTATGATGGAGTCTGCCAGGCAGTTGCACGATGAAGCCAGAAAGTGGTCTAGCAAGGTAAAAGTTAACTGACTTGATGATGTCCGAGGGATAAACAAAGTTTTGTTTCATGTTTTGAGAGTTCAAACATTCTTTTTATTTCCTGTTTATATGTATCCTAATTTTCATTTTCAATTGCTATCTGTTTGAATCTGAAGTCACTTCAACCAATGATGTAACTCGAAAGAAGTGTTTCCATAATTCTTTCTTATGAAAAACTCATGCTGATTTTATCATTCTCCTGGGTTTAATGTCACCAGATTCTTCTTTGAACAGAATTGAATTTGTAACTTGTGGAAGATTTGAGATGTTATGGTTTGCCATTTGTCGAAAATTTCAAAAACGTCACTGAACCCTGAAATTACAGCTCTCGATGCATACTTTGAATAATAATATAAACTCGTTAACTGAAAGCTATGAGCTGCAATTTCTAAAACAAGTTCTTTCTGTATGAGATAACAAGGTGTAGAGCTGGATGAATACAGCAGGCCAAGCAGCATCAGAGGAGCAAGAAGGCTGAGGTTTTGGGCCTAGACCCCGCTCCTTCCATTTTTTCTGAAGAAGGGTCTAGGCCCGAAACGTCAGCCTTCCTGCTGCTCTGATGCTGCTTGGCCTGCTGTGTTCATCCAGCTCTACACCTTGTTATCTCAGATTCTCCAGCATCTGCAGTTCCTACTAACTCTTTCTGTATGAAATGAGTGAAAACAATGGGCTCCATTGAAGACTATGAAACAAATTTTGAGTGATCCTTTTAGACAATGCATGATCTCAGCAAGACTAAAATATACATCCATATTTCTTATAATCTCAAAACTGCAGTTTTTTTGGAATGCTTTCTTTTAACTTGGTGAGGCCATGACATTAAAAATGAAAGCAACTTGTTTGAATTTTGCTTGAATTGTTCACCTTGGAAACTAGAATGACACAGCTGATTATCATGTAGAAATGCAATAACAAGCTGAGCAAAGTGTTTTGGTAGTATTTAGCAGCAGTCAATCAGAGAAAAACTAAGTGGTAAATTAAGTTCAAGATATTTTGATAATATAATGATATAATTGGCTTGAGCTCATTTTCCTGATTTAGGGCATTTATTTGGACGAATGATATAATAGTTCAATGATCTGTAAAATAAGACTGTGGACCACAAAGAATTGTCTTTGCTCAGCACTTAACTAAGCAGATCAATTGCTAATTCTCCCTGCAGCCCACCTGTATGAACCTTTGTTCCATCTAAAAATATTTCAGTCATTTTCTGAGTTTCATGGTGGGCATCTGTGGACGTTTGTCATTTGGAAGTCATCTAATTATAATATTTCCACGCATTGTCAACAAGTTGGGCTGGAGCCTGGATTCATAATGGTTCTGCAAACATTTGAATTTCACTCCTTTTCTATATTTGAAGGAATACCTTACCTTACAGTTGTACTGAACCACGGAGTAGCTGTTGATAATCGTGCTTCTCCAATTCCACCATATGGATCAACGTCACACGATCCTTATTTTCCCAACTGGATTCAACCAGCTGCAATTTGATAATCTGCGTGTCGTAACATCTTAATTTCTTGAGTGGTTCTGCTCACTGGTTGTTTTAAATGGCTTCTAGGATATTGTGCTCTAATTATAGTAAGAGTTTTTCACTGGAATTCTAATGAGGTATAATGTCTAACACTTGCTATCTCTGTTTGAAAAACAATTTAAGCATTTGGTAGCAAAGAAATGTTTATCACATGTCCCTGTTTCTCTTGTGAAACACACTTCATTTTACCAATAGAACATGGAAATTGAAGCTTCTCTCCATTCTTAATTATCCACATAGTTGAATTCTGTTTATAATTGAATTTATCTTTCCTACAATGTTTTGACCTGTGTATTCATGTTCTTGTTGTGGAAAACTGCTATGCTGGTATTAGTATCAGTTGAATGCTCATCTGCATGGCATTTATGCTGTCCTTAAATGTCAACCAATTCCTTTTGCATATCGTTGTCTCTTTATTCACTAAAATAGATACTCCCAAGTTGAATTGTAGGTATTATTTCCACATGTAGATGTACAGCAGACCTCAGTCTACAAGAACTTGATTTTTGGAAGTTCTTGTAAATACTTCCTTTGTAAGACCCAAGATTTAATTGCAGAATGAAATGAAGTTTAATCATAGAAGCTGTGTCCCAGGAGAAAATGTTCACCATTCTGTATCTGCCAGTGGAAGTTTCCGTCTACTTCCTTTTTTCCTTGTGTCCTTTTAATTATCTTCCTTATCAAATGTTTTCCCAGTTTTCATCATTGTTCAGTTTGAGTTTCGGGATGTGTTCATTGCATTTTTAGATGTTAGCTGTGGCTTAGTAGTTGCACTTGTGAATTAGTAAGTTTTCAAATTCTGTTTCAAAGACACACGGACACACTCGGGAAGGACAAAACAATCTAGTAATGACGGATTGCTGCACTGTCGGAAATGCTGTCATTCAGATTTAAAATACCTAATGAGTTATTCAAAGAACTGGAGCTCTTCTCCTGATTGAACATTTTATCCATCAAGCACTATCACTAGAAAATGGATTATTTGTTATTTAATTTGTTCCTTCATGTGGAGTCCTGCTGCATATATAGTCGCAGCCATACTTTCTTACATTTGGAAGGGATAATTAGAAATATCAAATTTCCCCTGAAGCATTTTGAAATTGAGTTTACATAAGGTTCTATGCACAAGCAATCCTCACCTTTCCTTGATGCAACCTGAAGTGATGGCATTTGCAAAGGTAGAATAATTCATGAACCTTCATAAAATGCGATTTCAATCAAGAATGTGAGGTGCTTTAATTTGGCAGATTGGACCTTGTGTCTGCTCCTGCACAGACATCTCACCTAATGTAATTTTGGGTGTAGTACATTGTCAACCCCTATTATGTGAGGAGGTGACTGGTAATAAATGCAAGAAAAAGTAATTTGAACAATAGAATCACTCTTCATACCTTTTCTGTCTACCTGTTACTTGTGTTCACTCCCAGCTATTTTCTTTGGGTCGAGGAAAGGATTTTGTGGGAAAAGTTTTAATTTTGAGTTGAGAAGGTCTGTTTTATAATGTGGAAGTAGATTGGGAGGGTAATGACAGATTAATGCCATAAATAACAAGAAGTGTGTGGCATGCATGTGTCTCCTCCCTGAAAATAAGAATACTTTTGTTCTTTCTAACTGATCTTTGTATGAAAGGTGCCTTTTTTCAAAGAAAGAATATCACCCTGCCAGGTAGGTTATCTTTACGTTTCTGTCATTTTGCTCGGAGTTGTTGGGGTGGGGAGAAATTTTGTGCACAATCCTCTCCAGCCAAAAAATAAGATGAGAAATAATTTAATGTATATAAACCACAGGGAGACTATATTGATCCGGAAATTGAGACTCTGAACTTCTGGGTATTAGTTTAAATATTAAAATAGTTTAGTGAAAATTGCACTTGCACTACAAAATGTATTATAAATAGCTTTGCACGAAACTAACATTAATCATTTCTCAAATATAAAAATTACCAATACAGAGATGGACAATACTTTCATTGTCTATCCCTAATTGCACTTTGGGTTACCTAAACCAAATGGACTGTGGCAGTTCAAGAAAGTGGTTCACCCAGTAACTTCTCAAGGGCAGCTGGGAATGGGCAATAAATACTTGCCCAGTCAACAAAATTCACGTGAATGAATAAGAAGGAAAATGTGACAAATTTTACTCACCTGATAATTAGTCTGTACATTTAAAGTAGGGATGAACAGTAGAATAGCTGAAGAATATGCTATTTATCCAGATCTTCTTATGAATGTGTAATTAATATTCAAAACAAATGCAAAATCAGTTAAGGTTTATTAAAATTAGCAGGTGCTCTACTCTGAAGCAGTTTCATGAATCTGAGTTCTAATTTGATACAGTATCCTCACCTTGTCCCAGTATCCAATTTTGATTATTTTTGCAAGTTGTGAAAATGTTTTCATCAGATCTTTCTAATAGTCTTCCTGCTCCAATCTTCCATCCTTGGGCAATTCAGTAGAGTCCTGGAGTTGAGCAGCTATTTGACATGCCTGTCTGATAATGAAATTAACCATTTAAAGCTTTGCAAGATGGGCAGCAAATCCTAAATGATTCCTTCTAAGGAGCATGGAGAACAAACAACTCATGACATGAAGTGAATGCGAAGGGCTTGATGGCATGGTGGTAGTGTCCATAGTTTTGGACCAAGAGGCCTGGGTTCAAGTCCCATTTGCACCAGAGGTGTCTAATAACATCTCTAAAGAGGTTGATTAGAAAATGTCAATGCAGTGAATGCTTTGGCTGTTGACACCTTGTTCAAAATATGGGCATAAATCTGACTCAATTGAATAATGGTTTTATCAGTTAGGGATAGACTTAGATGATCTCGCTTCTTTGCAACCCGACAATGGTATTGCTTAGCTTTGGATGTGTGGATATTGGCTCTTGTGTCCAGTCTTAGGGTTAATCTTCTGGCAACTTGTGCCTAATATGAGTTTTCTCATGAACTGTAAAACATCATCTACTTCAGTTGTTGAAGGGCTTAGAAATGGCAATTTCCTTTGTGCTGAAACACCACTTTGGTTCTTTTGGATGTCTAAGTCAATTACTGTCCTAATTATTTCTAACTGTTTGAAATATGCTAAAGGAGGCACTTTGATACAAAGTTAGGTTTGCCTTGAGGCTTACTCTCCATCAAGGAACTGAGTGTTAGATTAGTGTGACCACAGCTGCCTATCCAACCTGCAATCAATTTTAAAATCATTTTGTGACAATTTCACACTTCGCTTGACTCTGAGATGAAGTTGAAAGATTGACTGGAGATACTTTTTGTTTGGCATGTCCATCATTTATGACGCATGGAAGGCAAACGTTTGAAAAACTTTTTCATTGCATTGAGAGAAATGATATGATACAGTTTAGAGGTGTAACATTTAAAGTACTTTTTTTTTGGAAGTCTTTTTCTTCAAATCTGGCCTCTGATGGCTTAAGAGAATTCATTGCAAAT